AAATGCTACAAATTTATGAAAGTTAAGGAAGAGCATAGATAAAACCAGAAACAATTATTTTCTTGAAAATATCAACCGACGCTCCTCCAACTTTGCAAACGAATCAACTTCCACATTAAAAACCTGTAAACTTATTGAACAATTCTATTCTAGTGGCCAAAATTAAACGCAATATCAGGTTTTTACTCTCCAGAAAAACTAAATTGACGAACAACATTTTTTGGACAACATTTATTTAAATTTTTCACCAAAGTTTTGCATCAACCGACAGCAAATGATCAGAAGTACTCTCTCTGAAAATCTCATTTTAAAACTGGCTGTTTTGTCCGATTCTGCGTTCATAAAGAGAACAAGAACTTCATTAATACATGATTGTCACACCAATACAAAATGATCATGCAAGGTTCCCCCTTCGCATGATCATACTTTTTTCGGCATAAAGAGTCCTTTTACGAGGTTTAGTATAATACCAAAGGTGTTTTTAATGTCCTAATTATTACAATCGGGTATTGCGAACATTAAATTTACTTTTAAAAATCCGCAAGTGGGGTAAAAAAAGAGCTGATTTTCAGTTTTGTTAATGTGAACCAGTTGTTGGAAAATGAAATGCCCTCAGAAAATTCAGTTCTCGGCTCATTTCTTAGAGAGAAGACAAGTCATCACTGTTAAAAAACTATACTATATAGCTTGTACTAGAAAAAAGTGGTTCCGATAAAATCGGTTGCAATTTTTTTTTCAGCTGGTTTTGAAGCTGGAGAATTTTTTCCATACGGTCAATTAAGTTTGCTTCTATTGAATGCGTGGGTGGTCTTTTTGTTGAACCCGCTGGATATCTTCTGTAAATCTGTCCAAATAATCCGCATGATATTAGCGGGAATTAATAGTTATTATTCCTCTGTTCAGAAGTTTTCCATCATATTGTGGAATTCATATTTTTTTTATTTTGAAGCAATTAATACCTCACAGAAGCCTATTAAATCGCGCGACGGCAAATTCTGGCTCAAGAGAATTAATTGTTCCTTTTTTGTAGCCGAATACTAAATCAAGCACCTTGATTTCTTGGGCAGTCATATTGATTGCCCTAGTAACTGTACTAATGATGTCTTGTTAATTGTATTCGTTAGCAGAGAAAATGCTAGGAGGGTTTTAAATAGTCTTACGAACTGTTTCAATTTCTCAAATTCTTATTAAACTAAGGATAATGGAGTTCTATGTTAAATCCTTTCTCTTAAAAGTGTCTGTTTCTGTTTTCCAAGGCAGTGACCAATCGGAATCATAGTTCAATCACCATCTTCGATCTTGTCATCAGTGGCAAAGTTGTAAACTCTATCCTACTAAAAATTAATCTTCCGTTGTCGAAAAAGATATTTTTATTTTGACAAACGAAGTAACTCCAAAGTTTACTCGGTTTGCGATTGAAGTATTTTTGAAGCGAGCCCAGTTTATTTTGATTGAATTATGCTCTGTAGTCGATCAACGTAGGATTTGTTTTTGTTTCTGGAATTGGTCTGTAGTTTTGATTTTGCTGTGTACACGATTTGCTTTACCAATACGGTGGATCGATTGTCTGTTACTGTACAAAATATGAGGTTAATGTTCTTCGAATCTTAAAATGATTCAAAATCGGGCCCAGAACTACATGAAGCGTGATCGACGCTGGTAGAATTTGAAATCCCAGGTAATTGAATAGAATGGATTAGATTATCAAGAACTGTTTTTGTTGAAGCACTTGAAGTCCTTTGTCGAAGGAAATTTTTAAAATCTGGCAAAAATGAATGAATACATTTAGAAGAACTCAGATTGAATGCAATGTCCACAATTCAATTTCTTCGTTTAAAAACTGAGGTTCAATAAGTGATTGTTTCTTTTGATGGGAGTAAAAGTTTGAGATTTTTATCTGCTTTGAGACTATCTGAAGAATTTCCCCCGTGAAAGTAGATCATCCTGCATCATATTGCGAAAGGCAAACAAGAGGATTACAGGCAAACTGAACTTGGCTTTACTTCTAACAAAATGACAAAAAACTTGCGCTAAAAAACAGCAGTTGCGATACGACACTGAATGATTATATTTGAATCCGCATGAAAAAATGAATAAAAACAAATTAAAAAACTTTCAAAAATCTTCGTTTTTCGTCGAACTTGTAAAAAATCCCAAAAAAAATCGTAGACAAACTTACTTGTATCATTAAAAACTTTACACTGAGCTTTTGAATGAGTTTTTGCTTTTTGCGGGAAGTAAGCCGATAAAATAAGCAGACAAATGATAGTTTAAAATAACCAAAAATTTTCAGTTTGCAAAAAAATACAAAAAAAAATATTATGATCCCTCAATTTCTGAGGTAATTCAAAAAGTTTGTTCCGTAAATTCATTCTGAGAAAACCATTTAAACAGAGGCGAAGCTGCGCTATGCACTTGCATACAAACGAACAATCAGGAGCATTAAAAACAAGAAATTACAAAAGTAGATGCGCTTGGAAAGAAGAATTTAATTCAAAATCTAAAAATTTCGTATCACATTTCTCTAGAGTTTGACTCTTATGCCGACACGACTAAGCCACCGTCTCTTGATGTCATCATACACTATCCACCAAAAAATACTGGGTTGCATGAGAAACATTCTATTTTTAAAACATTGTTTTCCAGTAATAATCTGCAATAGTAAAACCCAAAAGATAAACCTTCATTAGTTTATTTTAAGCGCTGAAAGAAAGGACAAGACAAAAAATTTCTTCTAAAACCGAAAATCTGCAATCGTTGATAAAAAAGTTTTTAAAAAATGACAAAAATCTTCAGCCATTTTCTCTTCTCACTTTCCAGCAAAATTAGAGAAGCTAAACTTTTGAATTACAAAAATTCCCCAAGCAATAAAATATATCCATACGAAGGCAGAAAAGCTTTTAAAATCATCAAAAATCAGTTGTCTTGGACCCGTTTGTCAATGAAGCAAAAAATAGAGGTCCGGGTTACATTCCAATCTAGGACTTGCAGAGTTCAATCGTGGACGTTACATTTGCATCAAACGGCAAAATAGTGGATCGAGTTTGCTTTGCTGATAAAATATAATGACTACAGGGAGCCATATGAAATAAACAAAAACAGGAATAGTTTAATACCCCGTTGCCATACATTTGCTAATTAAAAATTTTTTACAAGAAAGTTGAATTTAAAAAATTGTGCTTTCCAGTCCAAGACTATAAATTTAAACTGAGAGCAAAACTTCAGCAAAAATCTGATTCAAAAAAATCTACCACTTTAACAAGGATAGCCAATTGCTTTGCAAGTAGTACTGAATGTTTCAACTCCATTCATATAGTTACTAAATGAAACCAACATAAATGAAAAGAGTCATGAACGTAAAGAAACGGCAAAAAACTGTCTGTTTTCTAAAAAAAATCATTTTTCGGTATTTGAAGAAAAAATTATGCGGCCTTGAGGCTCTCTTTTTAAGAACCACTAATGATTGAAACATTTTTGATCAATCAAATCAATTTTGAAAATTACCGGATTAACATGCAAACATTGTATTACGCGGAAAACTTGCAAATTAAAACCCACGTTCATGACTTTTCAAAAAAATGAAAAACTTTTCTCAGAGTTTTTGTAGTTTTTTAGAATTCTTTTTTGATTTAAAAAATATATATTGCCAAGGAAGGAAGCTCAAAAAGAATCTTCGAAAAATAGTTTTGGTCAAAAATATTCTAATGTTTTATTACTCAAATGAAATCTATTCGTCAAATAGGACCTGCCGGGAGATAATAGATGTTTTTTTATCTAGTTGAAATATGTTTCACCGCTTCAAATTGCTCCAAAAAGACTCAATTTCAAAATTTTGAAGTTGGTTTTTTGCAACAACGGGAGTGTAATTTAAAATGATCAAATTTGGTTCGAAGAGCTTTAATATGACATCACTCAGCCCATTCAAAGATTAATTGTGGAACCTATGTTTGCGGGAAATGAAAACGCACCTGTAGATAATGTTCTCCTGGTTTTTCCCAAACGCAATTGCGGATCTATATGAACACCAACACAAATGCAAGAAAGATTGAGACCAATAACACTTCTTCCTTCGATATTTTTACACAGAAGCCAAGCTTCACTTCGCAAACATTAGCGAGAACACGACAAAAGCAGTTCTTGTAAGTGATATAAGAAAACAAAGCCAACAATCAGGTAAAAGGTCAATGAAAGCAAGGAAACATTTTAAAAAATCGAACTTAAAAGAAAAAATCGATGCTCCCTAAGCTCTTTGAATTTCTAAAACGATTTGAGTGGCGATTTTTTGGATAAAATTACCCGAACTATAAAATTACTGGATCAATAAGTTAAGTTTTTATTCCGCTGGAATCTAAAGTAAATTCCACTTTCGAAACTAGAAATCGCTCACGTTTTTTTTGCGACATTTCCATGTTTGTATTTGGAGAGTGCGATTTAAGTCACTTTCAGCAGATGAATTTCAATGGAACTCAAAAAGTGCATATATACCTAAGTTTATTCATAAATGCATCAATATGCGCGAATGCATATCAGTATTTATAAAAAAATCACCAAGACCTATATAAGTCTTCACTACATTCATTACTCTAAAAGTAGAAACAAGCCTCGATTTAAAAACTCTGCCACTTCTCAGATTCGAACCTACTACTTACTCTGACCTAGAAATTGTGTCTCACGCACTAACCACTCAGCCACGGACGCTTAATTTATTCAAAATACTAGCCACAAAAAAAGCAGAGAACAGATATATGCAAATTCCAATGCGACAGTGAAATTTCCATAAGTGAACACTTATTTGCGAGTTAGGTTAGAAAAAGAAGGTCCGTACTAATAAACTAGCTGCTGGCTAGTGTAATTAAGTATAATGCTCGGAACCATGAATGATGGTTAATTGAGTTAGCCGAAAAGTCATCCATGGATCTCTTCCACAATTTTACTTTGTCTTCTTTTTATTCTGCGTTTATCAACGGTTACTGCACTCAAAATCTTCTTTCAAATAGTGGTTGAACGAAGTGTATTATTTAGACGTTTACATGGAATAACTAAAAATATAACAGGCATAATCAACCAACTCAACATCAAAACAATTTAACAATTTATCGAATCACTACCGGAATAACGAAAAAGTTTTCATGACAATATAAATAAAAACTAACATAATGAACATTCACAGAGATACAAAATCAATCAAAACGCCTCAAATTATTCCAACTAAGTCGTTATTGTTTCAAGATTTTCTCGGGTCTATTGGTTGGTATCTTCTCCAGTAACTTCATTGGTCACTTCAGCTTCCGAAGCCTAAAACAGACAACATTACTTCATCTTCATCGTCACAGTCTAAACAACAAACATCATGAACTGGTTGAATGACTGTCAATTTCGGGAGTCTTTGAACAGAGCATTTAATGAGCTGATAGATTTGAAGAAACAGAGATATGAGCAAGAATACAAGTTAGTCTTACGTAGGTGGCGAGTATTTGAACGGTTTCAACAAAACAACTAAATGTCTCGTCTAAAACCAACCTGTTTTACATGTTTGTAAAAAGTATAAAATTACTTGAAGCCGTAAACAGGGGTTGAAAAAAGCTGGAGGGAATCTGAGATCTTAGCAAATTTTTTGAACGAAATAGCTCAATTCAACTTTTTGCGGTTTGATATTTTGAAATAATTTAACACATAACGTTGACTATGACAAGAAAAAATTGATTGTTCTCAGTTGTTTCAAAGAATCAGCAAAACTAAAATGAAAGCCTCTCATTATTTTTCTAATGAGTCAGTAAGTCTGAAGCAACATTAAAACATATTGCCTGTATAATTACAGAATTCTCGATGGTTCAAACAAGCTACCTCGTCTCCGCTCATGTTGGGTAGTGTGATGTTACTGTTATCTCCATCTTGTCCAACTATTCCCGACAGGGGCTTGTCCTCGTCACTAACTCTACTCGCAGGAGACGCCCCCGCCCCCGAGGGACCCCCCGCCGGGGTCACACTTCCGCTGCCGTGGGGAATAGTGGTATCATCGATGGCCGAGCTGATGTTACTTATGTCCATACTCATATCATGTTGATTTATTGGCTGACCACTTAGTTCACGTTCTGCGGCTAACAACGCGGCTGGTTTCCGACCGCGACGTCCAGTGCCGCCGCCACGCCCTCGCCCGCTGCTGCCGTCTTTGCGCTTTTTATGACTCTTCTTTTTAGTGTAGTCTTCTGAAGAACAGAAACATTTGCCAACACCGAACAGCTGATTATCAGTTTGAATCTTTATCCAATACAATGCATTAAATAGTACAATCGTTTGCCAAAAGGAACAACTTATCACCAATTCAAAAAGAACTTGAACTACTTTTTAAGACCTGAAGTTCAATTTTATTGGATTGCAAGTCAAAATATCATGATCATTGAATCTCTAAATCTTTATAGTAATACAAATTAGTAACCTTGGACTCTTTACTTCCAAGAACCAATAGCTTTCTCATGAAACTTTAAATTAACTGTACCGAAATCGGAGTCTGACAAATGGTTGTCACCATCGTACGATCCACCTGCCTGACCCCCACCTCCCCCCGTCTGCCCAGCCGCAATTCTCTGCTCAAACTCCCTTTCAAACTTCTCTTTTATATCCGTGAATATGGATCCCAGAACAATAGAGTGCTCGAATATCTCACTGCCTTCTACGTTATAAGTCTGTGCATTCTTGCACATGAGCATGAAGTCGTCTTCCAGGTCCTCCAGACATCTGTACTTGTTGTTTTTGATCTTGTTCTGAAGAAAAAAAACGTTCACACATTTCAATAAAATGAATACTTCATTTATCAAACAGGGAAATGACATCAACCAGACCTTTATTTTTTAGTAACTACAGAATGTATTAAACTTTATCAAAGTCCAACTTTAATCAAAAATCAACTTTATTGAGTAACGTTTACCTTGATTTTGTTTATATCGACTGGTTTCTTAATGAACTCATAGTAATCCGGTAGCTCCTTTCTCGACGGTAACTGAATAAAAGTCGTACTCAGCGGCAGATCTTCATCCCTGTAATAATTTATTCGGTCACAATTAATCAAAATCTACTCAATTTAATCAATTATGTGAAAATGTTTCGGTACGAAGGTGAGATACTTACGGCCTGGTGAACTCGCAGACCTTCTTAATGATTCCTCGCATCACTTTCTGCAGTGCCTCCTGATTTTCAGGGCTGACGTAGTTCCTGCCTGCTCTCGCCTTCTTCTTACCCGGTCCCCTCCCTACATGCACATCCTCATCGTCATCATCTTCAAGTCTCTTCCTCCTCTTTTTCCCAGTCCCCCCTTCCACAGTACTTTTTCGTCCTCGTCCGGGTCCCGCGGGTGTCGGTGTATTGTTGCTTCCATCGCCCACCTTGAAATAATGAATACGTCTTAACTATTTTATGCTAGTTACTATGGTTTTCATCTCAATGTTGCCTCCAAATTATGTTTAACCAAGAAAATTTTTACTTTTCTTTTTGTTTTGTCTTGACAACTCCCGCGACAACTGGATTTCCTTGTCGAATACTTCAAGTATAAAGGCAATTCACTTAAGAAAAAAAAAACTTAAGGTGCCAAGTGACACGCTGACGGCTCGTCGAAATTCTAGCAGACAAATTAAATTGTAAAAGCACTGTTTGTGGATACTTACAGTGCTTTTACAAAGATATACTTGAAAAATCTGGTTTGAAACTCAATTATTACCTCTTCTTCCCAGTCTTCCAAGTTGCCCCCTTCGACCGCTTGCAGCCATTCGGCTTCCGTGAGCCTGTCGGCATAATCTACTTCCTTTCTCGCGCGGTTTCCTTTTCCAAACACTTTGTCCATATCGTCGGCAGTCGTAATTCTCTCCACTTCTGCCTCGTCTTTGATCAGCCACGAGGGCAGTTCGTGCTCCTCAATCAGTCGTGCCTTTCGTTTCGGGTTTCGAGCCTCAAGGCGGCGTCTGTCTAAATCTATTCGGGTGAACATCTCGAATTCCTCTTCCGTCCTCGCCAGCATCTGGTTCAAGGTTTCATCGTCTGGAGCTTCGTCGTCCTCCTGAAACAAAATTTAAAATAACTTTTAGCTAATCAAGAAGTGTGTCGAGACAGCAACAAAACAATCAGTTTAACGAAAAGTAGTTGTTCTTCAATGAGAGGATTGAAGTGTTTTCCAGAAATGAACAGAAGAGACCAACAGATACAAACCCGCTGAAAATAAAGAAATTTCAACAAAATGATCACATCTCAAAATGGTCCAGTTCAAATCTAATTAACGTAACTAGATAGAGCGTGCTTTACACAGATAATGTACAATCATTCAACCAGCTCCCACAGTAGATATATTCTTCTATATTCAACACAATTTTTTCTCTAGTATATCATGATTTTTTCTTTATCCAGTTAGCTGAGCGTGTTCGAAGCAGTTTGAAGTAAAGTTAATCACAATTTTTTTAAATTTAAAAATCACAATGAATTTTTAGTCCCACAAAAATCAATTACCTTTTCTGTAAATATATTTTATGATGTGCCGTATACATGCAGAGCAATTGAATAATAAAACACGTGTTGAAGTTAAGTTTATCACAATTTTTTAAGTTAAAAAATTACAAGGATTTTTTAGTCCCACAAAAACCCATTACCTTCTCTGTAAATATATTTTATGATGTACCGTATACATGCAGAGCTATTGAATAATAAAACACGTGTTTATATCTTGCGAATGTAAAGAAGTGACAATCTGACCTCATCGTCGTTGTCATCCTGGGCAAGGATGGCCCAGAGGAACTCGTGTCTGTCCTTGCTGGTGCTCTTCTGATCGAACATGCCTGCCTGGATGACCTTCTCGTCCACATTTAGTTTGTACCTGGCAGCTGCCAGAATTCTCTCCTCCACAGTGCCAACTGTCATCAGTCTCAGTACTCTCACTTCGTTCTTCTGTCCAATCCGGTGGGCTCTGTCTTGCGCTTGCAAGTCCTGAAACACTCCTTTATTTCATCTATAATTCTATTTTCAAATAGAAACCATTTCAAAAAGCCCAGGACTTTCAGTAACGTATGCGCTTGCAAGTCCTGAAACACTTCTTTATTTCATCTATAATTCTATTTTCAAATAGAAACCATTTCAAAAAGCCCAGGACTTTCAGTAACGTATGCGCTTGCAAGTCCTGAAACACTTCTTTATTTCATCTATAATTCTATTTTCAAATAGAAACCATTTCAAAAAGCCCAGGACTTTCAGTAACGTATGCGCTTGCAAGTCCTGAAACACTTCTTTATTTCATCTATAATTCTATTTTCAAATAGAAACCATTTCAAAAAGCCCAGGACTTTCAGTAACGTATGCGCTTGCAAGTCCTGAAACACTTCTTTATTTCATCTATAATTCTATTTTCAAATAGAAACCATTTCAAAAAGCCCAGGACTTTCAGTAACGTATGCGCTTGCAAGTCCTGAAACACTTCTTTATTTCATCTATAATTCTATTTTCAAATAGAAACCATTTCAAAAAGCCCAGGACTTTCAGTAACGTATGCGCTTGCAAGTCCTGAAACACTTCTTTATTTCATCTATAATTCTATTTTCAAATAGAAACCATTTCAAAAAGCCCAGGACTTTCAGTAACGTATGCGCTTGCAAGTCCTGAAACACTTCTTTATTTCATCTATAATTCTATTTTCAAATAGAAACCATTTCAAAAAGCCCAGGACTTTCAGTAACGTATGCGCTTGCAAGTCCTGAAACACTTCTTTATTTCATCTATAATTCTATTTTCAAATAGAAACCATTTCAAAAAGCCCAGGACTTTCAGTAACGTATGCGCTTGCAAGTCCTGAAACACTTCTTTATTTCATCTATAATTCTATTTTCAAATAGAAACCATTTCAAAAAGCCCAGGACTTTCAGTAACGTATGCGCTTGCAAGTCCTGAAACACTTCTTTATTTCATCTATAATTCTATTTTCAAATAGAAACCATTTCAAAAAGCCCAGGACTTTCAGTAACGTATGCGCTTGCAAGTCCTGAAACACTTCTTTATTTCATCTATAATTCTATTTTCAAATAGAAACCATTTCAAAAAGCCCAGGACTTTCAGTAACGTATGCGCTTGCAAGTCCTGAAACACTTCTTTATTTCATCTATAATTCTATTTTCAAATAGAAACCATTTCAAAAAGCCCAGGACTTTCAGTAACGTATGCGCTTGCAAGTCCTGAAACACTTCTTTATTTCATCTATAATTCTATTTTCAAATAGAAACCATTTCAAAAAGCCCAGGACTTTCAGTAACGTATGCGCTTGCAAGTCCTGAAACACTTCTTTATTTCATCTATAATTCTATTTTCAAATAGAAACCATTTCAAAAAGCCCAGGACTTTCAGTAACGTATGCGCTTGCAAGTCCTGAAACACTTCTTTATTTCATCTATAATTCTATTTTCAAATAGAAACCATTTCAAAAAGCCCAGGACTTTCAGTAACGTATGCGCTTGCAAGTCCTGAAACACTTCTTTATTTCATCTATAATTCTATTTTCAAATAGAAACCATTTCAAAAAGCCCAGGACTTTCAGTAACGTATGCGCTTGCAAGTCCTGAAACACTTCTTTATTTCATCTATAATTCTATTTTCAAATAGAAACCATTTCAAAAAGCCCAGGACTTTCAGTAACGTATGCGCTTGCAAGTCCTGAAACACTTCTTTATTTCATCTATAATTCTATTTTCAAATAGAAACCATTTCAAAAAGCCCAGGACTTTCAGTAACGTATGCGCTTGCAAGTCCTGAAACACTTCTTTATTTCATCTATAATTCTATTTTCAAATAGAAACCATTTCAAAAAGCCCAGGACTTTCAGTAACGTATGCGCTTGCAAGTCCTGAAACACTTCTTTATTTCATCTATAATTCTATTTTCAAATAGAAACCATTTCAAAAAGCCCAGGACTTTCAGTAACGTATGCGCTTGCAAGTCCTGAAACACTTCTTTATTTCATCTATAATTCTATTTTCAAATAGAAACCATTTCAAAAAGCCCAGGACTTTCAGTAACGTATGCGCTTGCAAGTCCTGAAACACTTCTTTATTTCATCTATAATTCTATTTTCAAATAGAAACCATTTCAAAAAGCCCAGGACTTTCAGTAACGTATGCGCTTGCAAGTCCTGAAACACTTCTTTATTTCATCTATAATTCTATTTTCAAATAGAAACCATTTCAAAAAGCCCAGGACTTTCAGTAACGTATGCGCTTGCAAGTCCTGAAACACTTCTTTATTTCATCTATAATTCTATTTTCAAATAGAAACCATTTCAAAAAGCCCAGGACTTTCAGTAACGTATGCGCTTGCAAGTCCTGAAACACTTCTTTATTTCATCTATAATTCTATTTTCAAATAGAAACCATTTCAAAAAGCCCAGGACTTTCAGTAACGTATGCGCTTGCAAGTCCTGAAACACTTCTTTATTTCATCTATAATTCTATTTTCAAATAGAAACCATTTCAAAAAGCCCAGGACTTTCAGTAACGTATGCGCTTGCAAGTCCTGAAACACTTCTTTATTTCATCTATAATTCTATTTTCAAATAGAAACCATTTCAAAAAGCCCAGGACTTTCAGTAACGTATGCGCTTGCAAGTCCTGAAACACTTCTTTATTTCATCTATAATTCTATTTTCAAATAGAAACCATTTCAAAAAGCCCAGGACTTTCAGTAACGTATGCGCTTGCAAGTCCTGAAACACTTCTTTATTTCATCTATAATTCTATTTTCAAATAGAAACCATTTCAAAAAGCCCAGGACTTTCAGTAACGTATGCGCTTGCAAGTCCTGAAACACTTCTTTATTTCATCTATAATTCTATTTTCAAATAGAAACCATTTCAAAAAGCCCAGGACTTTCAGTAACGTATGCGCTTGCAAGTCCTGAAACACTTCTTTATTTCATCTATAATTCTATTTTCAAATAGAAACCATTTCAAAAAGCCCAGGACTTTCAGTAACGTATGCGCTTGCAAGTCCTGAAACACTTCTTTATTTCATCTATAATTCTATTTTCAAATAGAAACCATTTCAAAAAGCCCAGGACTTTCAGTAACGTATGCGCTTGCAAGTCCTGAAACACTTCTTTATTTCATCTATAATTCTATTTTCAAATAGAAACCATTTCAAAAAGCCCAGGACTTTCAGTAACGTATGCGCTTGCAAGTCCTGAAACACTTCTTTATTTCATCTATAATTCTATTTTCAAATAGAAACCATTTCAAAAAGCCCAGGACTTTCAGTAACGTATGCGCTTGCAAGTCCTGAAACACTTCTTTATTTCATCTATAATTCTATTTTCAAATAGAAACCATTTCAAAAAGCCCAGGACTTTCAGTAACGTATGCGCTTGCAAGTCCTGAAACACTTCTTTATTTCATCTATAATTCTATTTTCAAATAGAAACCATTTCAAAAAGCCCAGGACTTTCAGTAACGTATGCGCTTGCAAGTCCTGAAACACTTCTTTATTTCATCTATAATTCTATTTTCAAATAGAAACCATTTCAAAAAGCCCAGGACTTTCAGTAACGTATGCGCTTGCAAGTCCTGAAACACTTCTTTATTTCATCTATAATTCTATTTTCAAATAGAAACCATTTCAAAAAGCCCAGGACTTTCAGTAACGTATGCGCTTGCAAGTCCTGAAACACTTCTTTATTTCATCTATAATTCTATTTTCAAATAGAAACCATTTCAAAAAGCCCAGGACTTTCAGTAACGTATGCGCTTGCAAGTCCTGAAACACTTCTTTATTTCATCTATAATTCTATTTTCAAATAGAAACCATTTCAAAAAGCCCAGGACTTTCAGTAACGTATGCGCTTGCAAGTCCTGAAACACTTCTTTATTTCATCTATAATTCTATTTTCAAATAGAAACCATTTCAAAAAGCCCAGGACTTTCAGTAACGTATGCGCTTGCAAGTCCTGAAACACTTCTTTATTTCATCTATAATTCTATTTTCAAATAGAAACCATTTCAAAAAGCCCAGGACTTTCAGTAACGTATGCGCTTGCAAGTCCTGAAACACTTCTTTATTTCATCTATAATTCTATTTTCAAATAGAAACCATTTCAAAAAGCCCAGGACTTTCAGTAACGTATGCGCTTGCAAGTCCTGAAACACTTCTTTATTTCATCTATAATTCTATTTTCAAATAGAAACCATTTCAAAAAGCCCAGGACTTTCAGTAACGTATGCGCTTGCAAGTCCTGAAACACTTCTTTATTTCATCTATAATTCTATTTTCAAATAGAAACCATTTCAAAAAGCCCAGGACTTTCAGTAACGTATGCGCTTGCAAGTCCTGAAACACTTCTTTATTTCATCTATAATTCTATTTTCAAATAGAAACCATTTCAAAAAGCCCAGGACTTTCAGTAACGTATGCGCTTGCAAGTCCTGAAACACTTCTTTATTTCATCTATAATTCTATTTTCAAATAGAAACCATTTCAAAAAGCCCAGGACTTTCAGTAACGTATGCGCTTGCAAGTCCTGAAACACTTCTTTATTTCATCTATAATTCTATTTTCAAATAGAAACCATTTCAAAAAGCCCAGGACTTTCAGTAACGTATGCGCTTGCAAGTCCTGAAACACTTCTTTATTTCATCTATAATTCTATTTTCAAATAGAAACCATTTCAAAAAGCCCAGGACTTTCAGTAACGTATGCGCTTGCAAGTCCTGAAACACTTCTTTATTTCATCTATAATTCTATTTTCAAATAGAAACCATTTCAAAAAGCCCAGGACTTTCAGTAACGTATGCGCTTGCAAGTCCTGAAACACTTCTTTATTTCATCTATAATTCTATTTTCAAATAGAAACCATTTCAAAAAGCCCAGGACTTTCAGTAACGTATGCGCTTGCAAGTCCTGAAACACTTCTTTATTTCATCTATAATTCTATTTTCAAATAGAAACCATTTCAAAAAGCCCAGGACTTTCAGTAACGTATGCGCTTGCAAGTCCTGAAACACTTCTTTATTTCATCTATAATTCTATTTTCAAATAGAAACCATTTCAAAAAGCCCAGGACTTTCAGTAACGTATGCGCTTGCAAGTCCTGAAACACTTCTTTATTTCATCTATAATTCTATTTTCAAATAGAAACCACTTCAAAAAGCCCAGGACTTTCAGTAACGTATGCGCCTGTATGTCCTGAAACACTTCTTTATTTCATCTATAATTCTATTTTCAAATAGAAACCACTTCAAAAAGCCCAGGACTTTCAGTAACGTATGCGCCTGTATGTCCTGAAACACTTCTTTATTTCATCTATAATTCTATTTTCAAATAGAAACCACTTCAAAAAGCCCAGGACTTTCAGTAACGTATGCGCTTGCAAGTCCTGAAACACTCCTTTATTTCATCTATAATTCTATTTTCAAATAGAAACCATTTCAAAAAGCCCAGGACTTTCAGTAACGTATGCGCCTGTATGTCCTGAAACACTTCTTTATTTCATCTATAATTCTATTTTCAAATAGAAACCACTTCAAAAAGCCCAGGACTTTCAGTAACGTATGCGCTTGCAAGTCCTGAAACACTTCTTTATTTCATCTATAATTCTATTTTCAAATAGAAACCACTTCAAAAAGCCCAGGACTTTCAGTAACGTATGCGCTTGCAAGTCCTGAAACACTTCTTTATTTCATCTATAATTCTATTTTCAAATAGAAACCACTTCAAAAAGCCCAGGACTTTCAGTAACGTATGCGCTTGCAAGTCCTGAAACACTTCTTTATTTCATCTATAATTCTATTTTCAAATAGAAACCATTTCAAAAAGCCCAGGACTTTCAGTAACGTATGCGCTTGCAAGTCCTGAAACACTTCTTTATTTCATCTATAATTCTATTTTCAAATAGAAACCATTTCAAAAAGCCCAGGACTTTCAGTAACGTATGCGCTTGCAAGTCCTGAAACACTTCTTTATTTCATCTATAATTCTATTTTCAAATAGAAACCACTTCAAAAAGCCCAGGACTTTCAGTAACGTATGCGCTTGCAAGTCCTGAAACACTTCTTTATTTCATCTATAATTCTATTTTCAAATAGAAACCACTTCAAAAAGCCCAGGACTTTCAGTAACGTATGCGCTTGCAAGTCCTGAAACACTTCTTTATTTCATCTATAATTCTATTTTCAAATAGAAACCATTTCAAAAAGCCCAGGACTTTCAGTAACGTATGCGCCTGTATGTCCTGAAACACTTCTTTATTTCATCTGTAATTCAATTTTCAAATAGAAACCACTTCAAAAAGCCCAGGACTTTCAGAAATGTATGCGCCTGTATGTCCTGAAAAAGATTCGTCAATAATTCGTCTTAGAAAGGCATGTGTATTAGCCTGGTGCGAACCTGCAATATTTGGCATGAATGTATTTTAGTAGTTACTACCTATTTTTGGACCTCCTGGAACACTTCTTACTCTAAATCTTCTTTGATTAAATACCAATCAATCTTACCAATTCCGCTCCTCTTAAATTTATTGGCACATTTCAAGCCTCACACATTTTGCCCCTTTTATGGTACACACAAATTCCCGTAAAAAATGTGAGGCGAAATAGTCGCGCGGCCAAATGCGCCATATTCATTTTGTAGCGTATATAAAAGCCCAATCATTACATATGTGTATACAACTTTTCAATCGTCATTATGCATAAAAAATAATCTTTTATGAAACACCAATCATTCCAAAAAGTCTCCTAAGCTACTATTTGGAATTTCAAAAGCTCTACCAAGATACTTTTTACATAAACGTTTATCATTGAAGCTTGTCGTTCAAAACTTTTTTTCATATTTTTCAACCCCATCATTTGCCACTTGATAGATACAAGGATAAAGTCAACATCATAGCAAATATCTACACAATGAGGGCAACTCTTATAGGAGAACTTCAACCACCTTTATTAAAAAATTATAGTCCCAGCTGCAAAAAGAATTGGCGCAGACTTGTTTGAAATTGCAGCTCCAGAGATTGGAGAAGTTGTAAAAGGACGACAAAAACTTGAAACATTAGCAAAAGATGTTGGAACAAAAACAGTTCGAAAAAAATTAGGATGTGGAAAAAAATCCAAGCGTAAAACTCGTAAAACCATTTCTCGCAAAAGTAGGTAAAAAAGTCGCTCTCGCAAAGACATTTTTGAAAAAATAAAGTAGTCCTTTTCGGTACGGGGCTTTTACAAACTATTCGTTGAAGATTTTTGATAAAGTCCTAGTTTTGGAAATAGTTATTTCATCCTACACTAAAAAGGGTTACCATTTTTACCTGCTGTCAAAACTACGACAAAGAAAAATTCGCATTCAATGAAAATAACGAGAGCTTTTAATTTTTTGGTCGATAACAATATGATTCTCAAAACTTTTCTATATGAATGAAATTGAGTTCAAAGCTTTTCAAAAACTTTTGTAAGCATTATGTTTGCGATAGTGAAAGGATGTTTTCTCTGTTTTACTATCAGTGAATTTCGTTTTCGGTGTCATTTATTGTATTCTAGGTGACCTGGAGGGATGCCACAAGAAGGGTTGCATAACACGTATAGCATTCCTGCTGTAGAGGTTGTAATTTAACAGATATAGGCAAATGAACCTAAAATGTTTTTCTAAATCGAACTTCAAATTCAATTCAGTTTATAGTTTTATTTTCATGTTTTTCAAATCCATAAAATGCCATTTGATAGATACAAGGATAAATTCAACATCATAGCAAAGATCAGCGCAATGAATTTCACAACTCTAGAACCACAAAAAATAAATAAATACCTGGTGTGGGTTCCAGTCGGAGTCGAATATGATGACGGTGTCTGCTGCCTGCAGATTCAGCCCCAGTCCCCCCGCGCGGGTGGAGAGGACGAAGATGAAGCAGTCGTTGGCGGGGTCACTGAACTTGGACAACATGTCCCCCCTGTCTTCCGCCTTCGTAGTTCCGTCCAGTCGCAAGTAGGTGTAGTCTGAAACAAACAGGGTCTTAGAATTGTATTCAGCACTAGAGCAATTGTTCCAAAGCAAAGTCATCATATCATATCATTATCATCTTGTTATTTATACGCCGATTGTAATAGTCCTCGCTGTTCGAGACTTTTACCGGTTTTCGTTTCGTTTACGAATACTTTTTCTGTACGGTGAAACTCATTTACTTCTAGGCCAAAAATGGATTTAATTTCGTATCTCCTTTTTTCCGTACATTGAAATTTCGTTTGATTCTCACATACCGAGGCTTCAATAGACATTCAGTTTAATCTCTAAGCCACAATAAACTCTTGTATCTTCTGGGATGAATTACTCATTTCTGAATATGAAGTATAGACCTCTACGCTGCAAGATTTCATATTACTTCGGCGAAGGATACAAGATTTAAAGAATACTTAGGTAAAAAAGGTGGTAGATTTGAAGAATACCACAGAATCACGAAACTGCACCCTTATTTCAAAAACCCTCAAGAAAAATTGGATCTATTTGGTTGTGCGGTGTCCATGCCCTGAAGTGCAGTTAATTTGAACTCACTTCTGAATATGAAGTAGTCCTCTAAGATGTGCATGCAGGTGGTCATCTGACAGAAGATGAGCACTTTGTGGCCAGTCTCCTTCAGTTTGGGCAGAACTCTGTCCAGTAATTCAAACTTGCCAGCCGCCCTGTACAGATCGATCCCATTCACCACACTTCCAGGGTAGCCAAAAGTCTGGGCAATCGCTTCCTACCAAACAATTGTTTCACATCATTAGCAAATTCTCAAATATTTCTAACACAAAGGCGAAGCAGAGCTTTGCAACTCTCGCGAGACAATACGAAAATTGCGATAAAAGATAGTGAATAGAAAGAGACGGATTTGAAAAACATTATCTGAAAAAAAAAATTAAAAAAAGAAAAATCTACACCTACATAAATTTCATACGCCTGTCTCAGATGAGGTTCATAAAAAGCCTTAGACACAGAGGCGAAGCTGCGCTTCGCAAACACTAGCGAGAACACGACAAAAGCAGCTCCATAAAGTGCAATAAGAAAAAGTAGAAATAAGCCTCGAGTTGGTAAAAACTCGGCTACCTCTCGGATTCGATCTGCAACCTAGAGTTTATGTGTCTCACGCACTAACCAATCAACCACGGATGGTTAATAAATTATAAACACTGACCTCAAATAAAGCAGGCAGAGAACAGATGTTATGAAACTTCTAATGCTTCAGATCGTGATTATAGCAAAATAGCCACCAAATAAGTGAATATTTTATTTGCGAGTTAAGTTAGAAAAAAAGAAGGTTCGTAGTAATAAACTAACGATTGCAAGCTCGCAAGTGTAAAAATCATTGGGAAATCGAGCCAAAACTAAGGCGAGAAAGTTGGATTCCACCCCGCTGAGCCGAAAGCAAAATTGTTGTCATAAAAATACTAATAAGTTTTTACGACCCATCCCTACTGAATCAAACAAACGCATTAAAAAATGGGCCTTAAACTACGCGATATAATTAAGTCCATATAATATAAGTCGAAACCGTTTAATCGGAATTTTTTTTTAAATTGTTCCAAATCGGACTGGGTGAAAAATTTTCAAATTACAGAACTTTCAATTACTATAAAAACTGTTTAAATCAAATTTAAACCCATGCATTGAAAAGTAAGCCGACAAAAAACTGTATCAGATAACATAAAGGGCATTTAGAAAAATAGAAAATGATCTGACGGAAATTTTGTCGACAGCCAAGAATCCAAAAAAAAATTCAACAATTGTTAATTTTCAAAAATTGAGCTTGTCAGCAGCCTGCACGTAACATTGAATGTCTTGTTCCCGAGTACAAGAACACTTGCAATAACAAGTGAAATAAAAAAAATAAAAAACAGAGTTATACTCTCAGCGCTTTGACTGAGGATTTAAAATTTTTATATATTTCAGAAACCAACAAACTCTGAATTGCAAATAGACTAAAACCAATCCAATCGTCCCAAATTGGTTAAGTTTGTTATATATAACAATAACACAGAGGCAAGGCGGAGCTTCGCAACACTTACGATACATTTTAAGTAAGTCTAAAAAAATTGTAAATATCGAAAAACTAGATCTATCAAGATAAATAAAACTAATTTCGAAAAAAAACTTGACAAAACCATAGAATGTGAAATTAGAATCGAAAAAAAACTTACCAAGCGGTAATAAAGCCCAAGAAATACCGGACCAGAAACGCTTTAAACAGAAAAATATCAAAAAGCATGAAAAGTAATTTGAAGTTTTTGTCCCCTTCCACTCATAACACACACACACACACATAAAAATTATCTTACTCATCAAACGACGCAATATGAGGCCGCTAAGTCGATATAATATAGGGCGAAACCTATTAAGCCGAAAAAAAAGAAATGAAACTAAAATAAATTGAGTTGGTAAAATTACAACTTGCATAAAAGCAAATTATGAATAAGCCTGATGGTTAAAATGCTAACAGGCTCAATACATATCTGTATAAGTTATTCCAGCAAAACGGACTAGGTGATTCGTGTGATCTAGCACCCGGTTGCAATACACTTGCTATCGCAAACGCGACAATCTTTCAAAACATCAAGAGACAGAGGTTTGGTTTATCATTTCATACCAACAAACCTCAATGTGTGGGAACATGAAGGGGTGGTTGCATATCTTCCTCAGCTGCATGATAGTGTTCATGAGAGTCTTGGCGCCCCCCTTTCCCGACTGGCCCTTCTCCGACCCATCAGTGAGTAATATGCCACTATTCTGCATGTGTTTGTACAGCAGTCTCTGTAGAGCCGACATCTCACACTTGATTACATACTCCACCTGGTTAGAAAAATAAAACTCTTCTATGAAATCAAATAATCTTCTGATAAAATAAATACAGATCATACAAGAAAATGAAGAAATATATAGTTAAACGAGCAAATTGGGCTTTCAGTGTTGAAGAAGTATCCCAGTTAGACAAAGTATTACAAAAACATACGATAGTAAGATCGCAACTCACTCGGTACCAAATGTTGCACACGTTAGTTTAGGTTGACACAGGATCAGAATTGGAAAAAGTTAAGTATAAGCTGTAATTATAAGCGAAATTAAATAACTGCAACACACCTTATCTGGAAGTTGGGATTCCACCTCCTTCTTCAAACGTCGCAGAAGAAATGGACGCAACACTTTATGCAGACGTCTGATAATCAACATGGACTCTTCTTCATTAAGATCCACACGTTCTCCTGTATTCGCAAAAGGAGTGTTGAACCACTGCTCGAAGTTGGCGCACGAGTGGAAAATACTGGGAAGCAGGAAGTTCAGCAGAGCCCACAACTCTGGCAACTTATTTTGCAACGGAGTTCCAGTTAACAGCACACGGTGTGGTGCTATGTAGTTGATGTTCAAAGTCTGGGTCAACTTGCAATGATGGTTTTTCATCCTGTGGCCTTCGTCAATAACTAAGCACTTCCACCGTATTTTAGCCAGGGTTGATTTATCCTTCATGATGTACTCATAAGTCGTAATCAGGACATTGAACTGGTTCGCTCTGATTTTGTAGCACAGAGCACGTCTGTTCTGTGGGTTTCCCTTGTATGCGATCACACTCACAGACGGAGCCCATTTTTCAAACTCGCCCAGCCAATTTGAGAGAGTTGACAAGGGTACAATGATCAAGTAGGGTCCGTTTATTTTCTTCACTTCCATCAGGTAGCTTATGAACGCAATCGTCTGAATTGTCTTTCCCAGTCCCATTTCGTCGGCCAGGATTCCGTTCAAGTTGTTGTTGTACAAAGAGACAAGCCACTCAAGACCCATCAACTAAAAAAGAATCATTTTTCCAGACAACTTCATAATATCATTTCATAAATCTATCATAAACAAATCAAAAACAGCACGAAACCCCACATAATTTGAACAGAAACTTGGATAAAGTCAGTGAACTCAAAGAGATCGAACATTTTATTTGAACATTTTTCAGCTTTCGAATTTCGGGAGAAAAAAATTGATCACGTTTAAGCTCTACGAATTTCAAGAACCTTTTTATCATTGACATTTATTTTTTCATAAAACCAATCCAATTAGGTTAAAGGGCGTCAGCAAAAAACTTTTTTCATTCTGCTTGAAAATTTTAAAATTTAAATCCACTTTCGAGCATTCGCGTTTTTTGATGCCATATGCATTTTTTATTAGACAGCGTAATTTGCCTTTCTATAAAATATGCGAGAAATGTTGTTAACAAGTCTTTCTCAGTTGAATCTAAACTGTCTGACAAATACACTCGTGAACGCTTTAGAATGATAACACACCTGGTATGGCTTGAGGGTTCCGTTCATCAGAATAGTGGGCTGTTCAGTGATCTTTTCTCGCTTGTAGTGAGCAATAGAGTAGTAGGATTGGTTGTCCTTGGCCTTGTAGTCTTCCTCTTTGTCCACGTCTTCCTTCGCTTTCGCAATAATCGCCCTAAAAACGAATAGTTTAGGTCCTCAAAAACAACAGCGATTAACTTGAAATTGCAATTCATCGTTGTGCTGCGGCGCTCGCTCACTGTTATTTTGTAATATACAGTCCTTTATCTGTTGCGTATTTTTTTTAGTTTCAGAACTTTTATCATGGTTCTCAAGGTAGTTGACGACCTCTGGTTTTTGTGTTCACTTTGGTACAAAAAACGCATTCACTTTTTATCAACTTACTAACGATTTTAGTTAATAATTTTGGTATTCGTCATGACATTACCATTTTTTTTCTATTTTACCGAGAACAAAAGGAGTCTTTGGTTTAATTCTATTTCGATTCAGTATTCATCGATGTACCACATGATGCAGCCAGTAGTTCCCGTCGCTGACGACCGAACGGATTTATTGGATGTACGACCCTTTTGGCCCAAACCTACTTTGGACCCTCCTAGTATCTGGGAAAGTGGAGTACTACAATTCAACTTAGCGATTACCCTCCGGGAAAGATGTGACCGAGAGAACTGTTGAAGATACCTCGCACAATTCACGACGATCTTCCTCCTAAACCCACAACTGTTGTGGGTGCCGAAGATGCTACAGCAGCTGCGAATAGATAAGCAAGTGATGCAACAGCAGATCGTAGAACGAAAGAAGTTAACAAGGAGAGAAGAGCTAAAGACGCTACAGCAGATACTGGTGTATATATTTTATGAAGCGTTTCAACGGATTAAATCACGTGTGTTTTTCTCCTTACGTATCGAAGGACGAAAACATATTCTTCAGAAGTATCCGCTTACAAACATAGCGCGATTATTTTCAAGGATTTCTTTGACAATTGTGAATTACTACAATGCGATCAATGACGACCAAGAAAGTCCGAAGTCATTTTTCCTTCGTTTGACGTGCCAAGTATCCCTGTGCGACTAGTCACCGGCCTTTGAAAAAGAAGTCCTCAGAGATATCTCATCGGCAAAATGCGTTTCAAAGACAGAGTGATTTGTGTAATCGTCCAAATGCAACTCCAGAAGACACCTAGAAGTCAGCCTTTTTGCAGGAAAAGGTGGCTCAAATGAATCTACCACGGTCAATCAGGCTCAGTTCAGCCAAAGATTTTCCGGATCCAAGAGGTAGCCTAGAGACTCCAAACCATGCTATTTCTGCAGGAATAAATTCTCGCCCAATCACAAACAATCTCGTCCAGCCCGCGGAGTTCCATGCGAAATTGCAGTAAGAAGAGTCATTTTGACAAATGTTGCACTATTCGTGTGGCAAATGCGGACACAAACAGCAGAATACTAACTTTATAACTTCCGATAGTGAGTCGGAAATTGCAGTTCTGACAAATAAAAGGTAGCGCATCCACAAAGTTTTTGGAATCTGATACATCCAGTTTATCATCAGTCACAGATAAAATCAAAACAGTGAAAAAACTGGAGGTGGTCAATGCTGCAACTGGAAAAGTTACAAGAACATTCAAATTACCATCAGATGTTACAACAAATTCTTCATAGCAATGATACATGTTGACTGCAACATGTGGAAGATTGGGTTATTTAGCACTTCGGGTTGGAAGGCGAAGTCGGCTCAATTTCTTATTTCCTAGAATCAAACTAGTTGACCTGATCCACTTTCCCTTTAGTCTCGCGTGGTTAGGATTTGATATTGATCCATGCGGTTGCCGTCCCAAACAACCAAAATAGAGCAGTTTTGGCACTGGATCCCCCCAAAGCGCACAAGCAACTCAAGTCGTTCATGGGTGTCCTTAATCACCTTCAAATATTCTTACCAAACTCGCAGGTCCATTCGACCAATTACGCCCGTCGCTTAAATTCATCGACAAACGAAAATTCGATTGCAGAGAAATTGAGCAACTAGCTTTTAAAAGTATTTTGGGTATCATTGATTATATTACGAAAAGGTATCATTATGATAAAACTCATTTAACGAGAATTCAAAGTGACGCTATTCTTCAGGAGTACGGGGAGCGGTGGTGAAGTGGTTACGTCTCCGCCTCTCAATCGAAAGGTCGGATGTTCGAGGCCCACCATGATCCGTGCTCGTTGCTTGAGGGTGAAGCAACATTACCCAGCTAGAAAAATAACCAAAAAAAATTGAATGTAGTTCTTAAACAGGGGCACAACAGCGGTTCGCCGTGATGAGCTGTACAGCACTTGTGTTGGTCCTCTCCCCCGTGGATAAATGGTCTTAATTTGCCAAAACAGATGTGTGGATTTCAATTGCGTCGCGATTTTTAAACACTCAGGAAGAAAAGTCTGGTACAAATGAATTGGAGTTACTCTCAATTGTTTGGCCTTGAACATTTTTGCAATTATTTAATGAGAAACACTTTTGGGGTAGAAACCAATCTTATGGGTATCAATTCGTCACTAAGGGCCAATAGGCGTAACAAAACCCACCAGTCGGAGTTCGAGAAAACAACGATTAAAAAGCTCCTAACTCAACATTAAGGGGAGAGGTACTTTATAGTTTTATTCATTCTGAAACACTAGGAGTAGGCACTTACGCAGCATCTACTTCGGCATCATCCAGCAAAATAGTGGGCGCCTCATCCTTAGTCGGAGTGGCTTTCGCCTCCACTTCCTTCTCCTCCTCAGCCTCCTCTTCTTCCGACTCCTCCTCCTCTTCCATCAACTCTCCTTTCTCATTCAACAGCTTCCACCCTGGATTCGCGTCTACAAACGCCCTCGCGTCTGCGTACGTGGTGTTCTCCCGCTGCACCTGGATTCCACTCGGGTCCACGAACGTCACTGTCCTCGGAATCGTCTGGTCCTCCTGATTCGCTCCCTCGTCCGGCTTCTTCTTTCGACTTCGCTTCTTTTTCGCCAACTCAGCTTGGTGCTCCTTCACCAAACTAGTCAGAGATCCAATGTACTCATCAGTTTGTTGCAACAAGTGCGCCAATCGTTTGTCCTTTTTCTCGTCAATCAACTTCTTATAACCTTCTTCATCCTCGGCCATCAGAAGTCGCATTCGCTCTTTCTCCAGCCTTTCCTGCCGCTTCTGTTCCTCTCTTTCAGCATTGTTATGATATGCCATCACGTTTTTGTTCACCTTGCTAGTTCGACTTTGACCAGTCCTGTGGAATTCTTTGAACTCCTTAGAGTGGGCCAAAATGGCATTCAAGAACTCCTGGTGTTTCAGTCGCTTCTTGCGCTCGATTTCCAACTTTTGTTGCTTTTCCAACCGTTCAGTCAATCTCGCCTCTTTCAAAGTTTGTTTTTTGGCTCGCTTATAGAGCTTCAAATTCAGCATCGTCTCCATCGTGCAATCGCGACGCATTCCATGCACCACTTCAGCTCGCAACGCTTTCTGGAAATTCAGCAACTTCAATGCTCGCAACTCAATTTCAGCCTTCATTCTCGAATCTTGATCAAATTCGTCCAGATTAACAGCTTCCAGTTCTTTCATTCTCAACCCGATTCTAGAACTGATTCTGTTCTCTCTTTCTTGTAACAGAGTCATCTCATCAATGCCTAATGGCTTGGACATTGGTGCCAGCTTTTTCTGGCCTGTGAATAGCGGAGGCATGGTTGCCTTGCCGGCATCACTAGCAGAATCTTTTCCAGACTCTGAAAAATTTAACAGAATTGAGCTCAGAACACAAAATCTATTATCGACCGTTAAAGCTCAGAGCATCCAAGCTATCTCGTAGACAAGTAAAATAATGTTTTGCGAGATTCCACTTAAAGTTTTTGCCATCTAAAAAATTAACACACAGAGGCAAAGCTGAGCAAAGTCCCCCCTTTGATACTTTTTCAGAAATCCATTTTTGGCCGACCGACCCTAAAATTTTTCTAAAGGCGCCTTGGGCGCCAATATATACTAACTTTGAGGGGGAGCGCGCGCCAAAAAAAAACGCGATTTTTTTGTCAAGATTTTTCAAAAAAAGCCCAAAAACGGCTTTTTTGACTATTTTTTCAGAAATTTGCCTGCGGCGCAGAAAAATTAGCCAAAATAGGGGCAAAACAGTGCTTTGGGAGAGCTCGAAAAATCAATTTGGTCGACCTAAAAAAAAAGGTCGTCAAAATTTTGGAAAATTCTTTGAAAATCCGCCCCCCCTCGAGAAAATCCTAGACTCGAGAAAATCCTAGATCCGCCCCTGCCTCTACGCCACATGGGCTATCGGATTTGAATTTATAATAACTAAGCAGTAACAAAGCCGAAAAACCTCAGCAGAAACCATTCATGCCGAAAAGAAATTCAAAAAATTCTTAACTTATAAAAAATGTGAAGTCCCTTTTATCCTCGGAGCACACAAACGCGCAAAAAAAGTTTTCGGTCGCAACGACGCAATAAGAGGTCACTAAGACCATATTAAGGAAGCCCAAAATTATGAAGCCAATAAAAAATGAAAAAAAGTGAAATTTAACAAATCGAGCTGGTAAAATTACAAGCAAACTTCCATTCGGCAGGATTTTTAAAATGCTGTAAACAAATTCTGTAAAAAATTTTCACAGCTAAAATAACGTTTCTTAGAAGTGACAACTAAGCCGACGAAATATAAGCAGAAAAATAATAGACCGAAATTTTTTGAACCAGGATATTTACCGTTTGAAAAAAAAAACAGGTTCTGGTCAGATTCGAACCCAGTAACTTTGCCGTCCCAGGCGTATTCGATACCACCATGCTAAGTGTGCAAGAGGCACTATAAAATTTGAAATCATTAGGAACCATAAGGAGTCTACTGAGTCATGTAGACAAAGTTGTTTAGGAAAAAAGTCTAGTATCCCATTGCAATACCCTTGCTTTTCGGAAGGGTATTAAGCAATTCAATTTAATCACAATTTAATATACAAATTGATCGAAAATTGAAATCACTGCTTAGTTAACATCTAAAGTGAAAAAACATATCTAATCGAAGATTGGAAAAGAGCCATGAACGCAAGTTAACATAAAAAAAACACTGACTTTGTTTAATAAAATTTCAACGCTCGAATTTCAAAGAAAAATAGATGCCCTTTAAGCTCTTTGAATTTCTAGAACGATTGAAAAAACCAACTTGAGAAAACTGGATCAACAGGTAAAGTTTTTTTCCCGCTGTAAATCTAAAAACTAAACTCCACTTTCGAAAATAGAAATCGCTCATGTTTTTTGCGCCATTTCCATGTTTGTATTTTGGAGACTGCGATTTAAGTCATTTTCAGCAGATGAATTTCAATTTAATTCAAAAAGTGCATAAAAAACCTCAAAGCATCAATATTTTAAGACTTTTTCCTGGAAAAAAAAATCAGCAAGACCTATATAAAAGTCTTCACTACGTTCATTACTCTTAACAAGCTAACTCGTACCTTTATCAGACTTGGTCGAAGCTTCACTCGTATCTACAGTCTCCATCGGCTTTGGAGGGAACAAAACCCCCAGCAGGTTAGTTGGAACGGGCAAATTCCGCACTATGTATCGATAGGCCTGCACTTGAGCTCTCAGAGTCAGCGACTGGTCTCCCGTCAGCTGAACTGGGATGCCTGGAGGCATCATCGGCGGCACTTTAGCTGCGACTGCTGCTCCTCCTCCTCGGTGACTGATAGCCACGGGACCCACAGGAGCCTCTTGCTCCGTTGAAGCTGAAAGATCCAATTTTGATCAATCAGATGAATCGCTGATATTAAATTTTTTTCTGACCACCCGAATTTGATAGGAGTTTTTGGTCATTTCCGTTATGGAGTGGAAAAGAACTGTGGCGTAGCGTCTGTTTTTTTTTCAGCCAATTTATTTTGACTACCTCAAAGACTTTGCATTTTTTAGAATGTAAAGAACTTTGCATGTAATAAGTTAGAATGTAATAAAAAAAAATTGCGTATAAATTATGTATTTCAAAATTCGCGCGAAAAATACCTTGGAAAATTTCTGAAATGGTATTTTAATTACTATACTGTTATATGAAACTTTTTTCGATCCAATTGATGAATTAAAACAGACAGTTGGAAAAGATTAAATGAATGAAAGAAAACAAAAAAAACTGACTTGTTTTTTTTTGAAAAATCTCAGCTTTCGAAACTCAAACACAAAATTAGATGCCTTAAAAGTCATTGAATTTCTAGATCAATTTATGATTGCCACTTTTTTGATTAAATTGACCGAATTTGAAAAAACTGGATCAATAGGTAAATTTCTTATTCCGTTGGGAAACTCGAAAACTAAATTCCACTATCGAAATTAGAAGTTGATCACGTTTTTTCCAGATTTTTACCTTATACTGTTCTATAGTGGATTTTGCCTTCTTTTTAACTAAGGAAATTAACTGATCTTAAAAAGAAATCAAAAGTCGAAAGCGCGAAAAAGTAAATTTGAGCCTGAACAAATAACAAAAAAATCATTGCGACCAATATAAGAGTCTGAACTAAGTTCATCGACTCTTCAAAATCATCAACTGTGTTAACTTATTACTAATCAAATGTCAAAGTACATGTAAATATACTGCTAAAAAGTACTTTTATATGCGACTTCGGTTGAAAAACAAATTTTCATTGCATTATCGCACTACGCTACACTCATGTAATCAACTAGTAGACAACTATAGTCAATTTAAACTCCGAACCTTTGATTTTATTTGCTTGAATCACGCACAAAAACAGCAATTAATTTGGGATTTTTTTTGTCCAAAAGGCAAAAAAGCTTTTGTTTCAAAAATAAGTCTGGTCAACTTCCTCTGCTAGTTTCACAGCAACCCGCAACTTTTGTTTCGATTAGATTTTGTTAAAAATTAGCAAGGATAGCTGGTTACTGTGCAAGTAGCACAGAATGTTCCGACCATAATCTTAAAAAACAGAAAAATTTTTTTTTTTGTTTTCAAATTAATCGCGTTTTTTCGGCGTGGTGTGATAAAAGTATCTGCACACAAAAAGTAGAAATTATGCATATTCGACTGTCATAGTAAAATGGGAAAATTGGACAACAGTGACTAGAAAAACAAAAAAAATCACAAAAAAAATCCAAAATGTTAAAAACTCCAAAAACTAACTTTAATTGTTTAATACTACATTTTCACGCCTTAAATTAAGCAAAACACAGAGGCGAAGCGGCAATTCGCACCACTTGCGATACAACAAAATCATAAAAAACATAAGTAGAAAAAAAAGTGTGAAAAACTGTGTGAATCAAAATTTTCGAATGTCTCGATGAAGGACACTTAGGGCCCAGCTAAAACTGAAGGTACGTGTAAGACAATTTTTTATACTGAATAGTTTTTTATACTGAAGCGGTACAATATGCATTATTTAAAAAAACGAACTTTGCCCAAAACCATAGATGTTTCTCTACTAAAAGAGATGCGTGAAAAATTTTGAGATTGTGGAATTTTACCAATTACATCACATTTCTGTTTAAAAAAATTAAGGATTGGCCACTTCTGCAGGAACAACTCCGCAATTTCTTCTTTCGATCAAACTTTTAATCTCAGAATTGATACGGTAATTTTTAAGAAAATTCAAAAAGTTTCCAATAAACGGTCGAAGTTCAAAAGCTTTACTTTTGGAAATCCGTAACTTTTTTCTGCCAAAAGCAAGTCAAATTACAAAAAACGGTCAAAAAAGAAAAACTTTGACATTTCCGAGGGCCACAATTTTTTTCCAAAAAAATGGGCGTAGTAGTGTAAGCGAAGGAGCTTCCCACGACCCGTTCTTTGGATTTAACCTAAAATCTCAGATATAGGAGAGTATTTTTTGGTAACACTCATTAAATTTAGAAAAACGCTCAAAAAAATTGACTTTTCTCAGGACGATTTTTTTTGTGTAAAAATGTTTATGAGTGGCCTCTAATGCAGGGAAGCTTCACACTACCCGTACTCTCCATTGAACACACAATCTAGCCGCTTATGGGGGAACTTCTCAAATCTGCTCTTTTCATTGACACAAAAATCTCAGATTGGGTAGGTTCGTTTTTGAGAAAAAAATTGACAAAATCGGTCAAATACTGTCCTCACAGATTTTTTCGAAGGCTGTAATCAAAAGGGTAAAGTAAAAATAGACCAGGGGAGTATGCAGACACATAAATAACCCTTTTTTTGAAAATCGGTAGAAGGGTTTTTTCCCAAAAAGTGATAAGACTATCCAAAGCGTCTTAAAAAAATAAATAAAACCAACCCAATCCCATACATTTTCATAATAAGTGTTTTTATCAAACGAATATTCTAAAAAAACTTGCCAAGCAAGACATTTGAAATTGAAATTAGCAACTGAACAAAATTTTCGAAGCTGAAACAAGAGTGAAACCAGTTGAGCCGAAAAAATACTGCTTTTGTAAAAAAAAAAATTGAAAAAACTCTGAAACCACCCTGTAGTAACTAGTACCCACCCAGTAGTTAAATTTGAATTTTCATGAAATTGAGCATGTCAGCTACATAGCATCATCATAAGTGGTTCAACTGATTTAGTTAAACTAGCTGTTATCACGAAAAAAGTCTACATTCCGATTTGATACTGCTTGCTAATCGCAAGCGTAATAAGATATTGTAAGCCTGCACGCTTGCTTAGCAGCTCGAAATGAGACTGAAAATAAAAAAAATTAACTTTTAAATGGTCGAATCACGGCTGAAAAGGCTTTAAAACGATATATCACTCGACTCAATCCGATGATTAAGTGGTACCTAAATTTGCGTTGGAAACAAAAAAAAATAAAAAAACACAAACACAAAGGTCCTCCCCATTTTTAATGGCCGGAACAAATATTTAATATTTTGGTTGCTATTAGAGGACAAAAGATTCCGGAAATTCATTAGAAGCCTATAATTTTTAATCGGTAGAACGTGAATTGAAAATAGCACTAAATATGAGCTGAAATTAAAATAATACCTTTGACTACATCTGGAAGAGATGAAGGCTCCGCTGCCTTCGACAGAACCTCTTGATTAATCTCCGATGATTGTCCGCTGGAACTTTGTTGATAGTCTGGGGTTGCTTTTTCTGCCACAGCTTTGACCTAAAGCCAAACAATGTTGCTTCATAACTGGAAATATTTTTAAACTCTTGGATTCAAATTAAATACTCAAATGAAGACAGAAATCTAAAAGGTGCCCAGATATAATAAGCTTATTTCCCTTAATCGAACTTCCTCTATTGAAAAGAGTCAAGTTTTTAAAAAAGCTTACTTCGCTGGGTCCAATGGTCTGTTTCGGCGCTCCAAATGACGCAGGAGCTCCTTGGCTAGATGTCATTGAGCTTTGAGGAACAGCTGCATGTGAAGGACTCGGGGGACCGGCAGGCTGCATCATGGCTCCTGGATGGGGCACCTTTGGCATCATCATCTGTTGGTAATACCTTTGATGTTGCTGGTACTGCTGCTGTTGCTGATGCTGCATTTGAGTATGTCTGTACAACTTGAGCAAATTGTGATACTTGGGGTCATCAGTCATTCCTCGCTCCTGCATCTGAGTCAAAGCCGTATACATTCCCTGCAAATCATGAGAAGTGTATTGTCTATACTGTCCATATGCCATTCCTTGTTGCGGGACGCCTGGCGGGTGGCCGTGTTGATAGTATCCAGGAGGAACTGAAGCATTCGGTGGTGGCGGACCTCTTTGTTGTTGTTGTGGAGCGCTTGCCATTGAGGTCGTCGGTGCACTGGGTCCAGGTGGAACCCCTTGCTGTCGCATTACAGTCGCTTCGTTTTGTCCATAAGGGCCAGTTCCTTGCGAAGGTGCACTGTACATTGCTGCTCCCTGTTGTACAGGAACACTTTGCCCGGCTTGTTGCTGTGCTTGCGATGGCTGCTGACTCGGTTGTCCTTGATGGTAGTACTGCTGGCTCTGCGAATATCCTTGGGGTGCTTGAGGAGGATATCCAGCAGGGTTTTGTCTCTGGCCTCCGTAAGACATTGGCGCTTGTCCCGGAACATGTTGTGAACTTCCACTTTGATATTGCGCACTTGCTGGCATCTGCTGATGATATCCAGAATGATGCATGTATTGCTGCGGCTGAGCCTGGGATGAAGTCCCTGGATATCCGTGGGTGGATTGGGAAACCTGACCTCCTGAGTAGCCAACCGGATGACCTCTATTCGGCATTGGCATACCCCCTCCATGCTGAGACTGGTTTTGTCCAGGGTATCCTGAATACATCGCAGCATTTGGTGCTTGTTGTTGTTGCTGTTGTGGATGAGCTACTGGGTGATGTTGCGGTTGAGTCGGCTGCTGATTAGCTGGTGGCGGGGTCGGTGCAGGTCCGCTGCTGGCTGAGGATGGCGCTGGTGAAAATGGAGCCGGACTTCCAGTCGCGACGTTTGGCGACTGAGACGGTGGTCGTTGCTGCATCATAGCCTGCTGATGATACTGCAATTGCTGTTGCGCTGGGGATCCAGGACCCTGTTGACCTTGGGGTCCCTGGTAACTTCCAGGTGCGTTTTGCGATGGTTGCATAAACTGACTTTGAGGCATTTGCTGGTGCTGAGGCGGCGGCTGTTGTTGTTGCGGTTGCTGCGGGTATCCTTGACTAGGATGACCATACTCAGCAGTATTCTGGCCTCCCATATGAGGCGGTGGGCCTTGTTGGTTGGGATATCCAGACATACTCTGAAAATTAAGGCCACGATTTGAGGAGTACACTTCATAATGCAATTTGAGACTTATTTCCATCTAGCGACTAACTTCCGTATCTCTTTGTGACTAAATGGAGATTGAAAAGTATTAGGAAGAATTTTGAATTTGTCAATGCTGAATGAACATTATGCAAGTTTTGTAATTTAAACAACTAAAAAGAAGGAACAAAACTAATCTGCTGTAGTTGCTTTGTGTCTGAACAAAAAGCACCACTAATGTATCGCCATCACATCGCATACACACAACATAACGACAGGAGCAGCTCATTGTGGTGGTCGGCGATGTTTTCCATTGACAGGCGAATTGTGTTGAAAATGGAGCTGCTAACTATGAAAATACTACTCGAGAACTGAAGAGGAGAAGACTTTACTAAGTTAACTTCTAGAGACTAACAGTTTGTGGAAAATACGAGGCGATAAGACAAGTCTAGTAGATTAGACACTGGAGAAGAGAAGCGACAGTCGACAGAGAGTCAAGCAGTCATAGTGGTTTTTTGTTCGTTTAGGTGTTCTATTTTCAAGTTGTGTGTATTGTATTTTTAACACCAGCAGGAAGCTAATTAAGCTGTAGTGAAACTAACTTGCGCTTCTACTAAACTCAATAAAAAACTGAACAAGCAGACGCTACACGTGTTCATTCGCGTCAGCAGCGACAGCGGAACTAGAAAGACACCACACAAACCACTGATGTCCGCCTCTCTTCCCAAATTACAAACTCAAGATCTCTTTAATGCATTCTTTACTCCCCCCCCCCCCCACCATGCTACCTTAGTAACGAATACCCACCTAGAAATCTCCTTCTATAACGCATTTATATAACGGGTGATTTTTACTTAGAAACGAATCTTTACCCCTTATGTAAAATGAGAGGCGAAGAGGTAGTTGAAGAGATCCCAAATGCAGCACATAGTACATTTGAACTATTAGTTGATGGCGTCAAACCAAGTCAGAAACAGTTACTTTTTTTCAACTATTCAAACAAACCACTCAGATAGTCAGCAATAATTTCCGTGAAATGGCACTTATCAATGCAAAACAACTTCGTATTCAATAACCATACTGAAAATAATCTCCAACTTAGATTAACGGTCAAAGTAAGCAAACAATATAATGTGAATAGCATATATTTGTATACATGAGAAAAATTGCAAGCGCGGGGGTGAAACTTATACACTTTGAGCGTCAGTTTGAATTGAGAGTATGGCGACTGTGTTTAGTCGGTTTTACTGTGTGTTGTGACTGCACATTTGAGATGTCGTCCTGTTCGAATCGCGAGGAGTTTGTTCGTCCGGTCGCTGCGACTGGTGATACGGAGTTTATGCTGGCGTACAGATGAGAGGGGGGTTTGGGTTTCTTGTAGGTCACATATGTGGCCCCCTTAACGTGATCGTATGTGCCCGCACACACGAACAGGTTGTCTGGGAAGGTACCTTTGGCCTGGGCGGCCTTGTATATGTTGTGGTTGTGGGAAGCATATTCCTCTTCGTCTAATACTTCCACCTTGTGCGAGATAGTCTGTATGTCCAATTCGTCACAATGACTACTCTTCAACAGTGCATTCTGCAATAAAATTATTATAATATTAAAGACCGAAAAAATCCAGATTTTGTCAAATCAATTTCAATAACCATAAAGAAAAGTTCACATTTTAAAAATGAGCCTATCAGACAATCTTAACTTACAATGATACTAATTAAATGGCACTTCAATCTTAGTTTTAGTTCAATTCGAACTAGAGCCTCTAAAGTGCACAAAAGCTCGGTGTTTAGAGGCCACCACGATCTACGTTTCCAGGATCAGGGTGAGGCAACATTGCCCAGACAAGAAATATTACAAGTACTTGCATCTAATTATTAATCACGTGAATGACAGCGATCCTCCGTGAAGAACTTAAAAGCTCGTATATTGGTCCTTTTGTTGTTGATATATCAACTCAATTTAAACTAAAAAGCAGCGCACATTTTCGGCTCTTGGTTGACCTACCTTCGGAAGAGTCCGCTCCACACCCTGTTTAGTTTCTTCTGTTCTGTAGAACCAAGACACCTTCACTATACACTCCCCTGACGAAGTCTCGAAGAAGTTGATCACACGACCGACGTAGGGCCTGCGACTTGAACCAGGAACATGTGCGGCCGAATTGTGGAATGCTACGAAGTCATCTTTGTTCACGACAGCGTCCGACTTCGAAATGGACGAGTAAAACGCTTTGATGTTTTTGCTCAGCGGCGTTTCAGTCAGACACTTTCGCTCCCACTTCCATATTGACACTTTGCGTGAGGAGGATGTCCCCCCACTTTGAGGTTGGGTGGGGGAGTAAGTGGCGCTGAGGATGGAGTAGTCTGCCGAGTTGAAGAGCGAAGAGAGCACTCGCACGTTAGTCAAGTTCACGATTGATTCATCCCCGTCGTCGAAGTCTATTTTTACTGCATGTGGAAGGGTTTTTGTGTTCGAAACTAAAAAAAACTAACTTTCAAAACAACCAGGAAAATTTTGAAAAAATGACGCTGAAACTACTAAACCGTGCTTCATTTGTAGGACATTTGAGCTAAAGAAATTTGAGCTTAGGAAAGTAAGCCATTTTTTTTACAGCGCTCAAGGAAATACGAATTTTCCTTTATTTACTGTTACAGTTCAAAATTCAATTTACTGCCCCAGAGCTGTCTAAATTTCAAAAAGGATCCGAGAAGTGCGTTTTGTTCACACTCACTTGAGACTGTGCCGGGGTGCAACTCAGTGAATGATTTGCTGTAGTGTGCACAGACTTTGGTGCCCTTGGGGATTGCACTCTTCGTACGGGGCACTATCTCCAGCACTGCTCTGTCCACCAAGTCCTCGTAGGCGAAGATCTGCGGTCGAGAGCCACGAGCCCCATCCACCAGGATTCCATACCTAAATCATAGCCCACTTATGCTTAGAACCCAAAAAATGTCACGTATTTTAGAAAAATATATATTTGAAAAAGTTAACCCATTAAAGTCAATCTAGCAAATATTGCACCAGATCTAAATCGAAGTAAACGGAAACTACCAATCTATCGTATCTAAACCATGGCCAAACTCACTACCCTAGAAACGAAAAGGTGAACTGATTACTTATCGAAAAATCACAAAGCCAAACAGAGGTAGGATAATTCATTACTGGATCTCTTGATTGTAATTGACGACAGAAAAAATTGAGGATTAATCAATATCATTATTAAATACTTCAGAACTTTTAAGCTGTAATTACGGTCTCTCGTTAACAAATAACAAACCGCACGACAAAAAAACAATCTCGCTCTTTTACAACTTACACATCTGGGGGTTTCATTGCAATCAATTTTCCAGGCGCATACAACCCATCGGACTGCCTCAACAACACCCGCTGGCCAGAAACCAGATCATCATTCGTCAAATGCACAGACCTTCTTGCTTCAGCTACAGCTGTCGCCACTTTCAACGTTTCAGACATGGCAACATTTGATGACGTAGATGATATCACCGGTTTCGATGATTGAAGCCGTGTCGTCGAGCTACCTTGTGAAGTTGAGGTCTGACTGTGGCTGTAATTGGCAGTGTTGGAGTTTTGCACAGTCGAGACAGGCGACCTTTGCGGGAACTCAAAAGGAGTTCGGTCATGCTTGTGGTGGTGGTTGGCTTCTGACTGATTCAGATTATTGGTTGATAGACGATTTGCCGAATTCGACACTGAGGTATTAGTCTGACACGGCGTTTTACGTTGCAGGACTTTCGTCGAGCTAGGACTCTGAAAAAGTTTGTATCACAGTTTGTAAGCAGTTATTATTGTTCTGACCATTGAAAATGGAGAGTAATTTTGCATTCGGGTGTTTTAGTGTTTTTCCTTTGTTGTTTTCCACGCAAAATCAGATACCACGAAAAATTACTGCATTTAAAACTGCATTTTTTTGAAACTTTTGAAAATACATTTTCTCTCATCACACCATGGACAAAAAGCGACAGTAAAATGAAGAAAAAAGGAAACATATATTATAAAAAAAATACCTTGCTGGAAACTTATAAATTATCAACACTAAACGAACCAATTTCGTGCATGACAAAATTTGCATTTGCAGTAGTACCACTTATTCTTATGTTTCCCTGAAGACCTCATCTAACCGCTCTTCAACTAACTTTCGATTTATTTCCCACTTGGGGCGTCATTTGTGAAGTGGAGTCTGCAGCAGAAGTTGTCTGTGGATTGAGTCTCCTGTCTGAGTACACACTACTAGAACCCACCGACAGTCTAGAAGAGGACGATGACGCCATTGTGCCACTACCTCCTGATGGAACTGACTGCTAAATTAAACAAGGATTGAGCTATCTTGTTAATTATTCGCCCTCTACTACCTAGTTTAGAAAAACGTTCAACCCTCTAAACGATTGATTCCACAATATAATGTGAATATATTTTCAACTTGCAAAGAATCCCTCCATTTGTAACGAAAAGTTTTTTAAACAGAGATTATTTTGGAATCCGAATTACGTCAAAGAGGACTTTAATTTGATACCACACTTGACACCCTACGAGCTTTCTTTAGGCAAAATCGGCTGAAAAAATCAGACCCTACGCCATAGTTCTCGACCACTTCGTGAAAATGACGGAAAAACCATTACCTCTTATTATTCAACATTTGTCAAATTGAGCACTCACCGATAGGTTTCCTTCTTCCATTCGCGCTCTCTTTTCCTCTTTTTCGAACCTAAAAACAAAATCAATAAATTTATTCCTGGATACTTAATTGAACTCACAAATTTTCATATTCATATTCGACCATTGTTAATACAAAGCTGTCTTCATTCAAATGTGTCTAAAGTATATAGTATGCGTCAGTGTTTCTCACCCTGCGAACACCATCTTGAGCTTCCTTTTTACCCTCTGCTCCAACACTATCAGTTTCCTCTTCGCAGCCGTGTCTTCGTCCTCAGAGGCCAACACCTGTTTCAGAGGCTGCTCTACATCAGCCAGCAAAGACCTACATCAACAGGGATAATTCAGGCACAGTGCAGTGCTGATTTAAAACATCAGAGCCAACAGACAGTTAGAAAAACTTCAACTTTTAAATTTCAGAGAAAATATAGATGCCCTTAAAGCTCTTTGAATTTCTAGAACAATTTATTATAGACACTTTATTGATTAAAATATCCCAATTTGAAAAAATTGGATCAATAGGCAAAATTTTCATTTCACGGGGGAATTCGATAATTAAATTCCATTTTCGAAACTAGAAATCGATCACGTCGTTTTTCGTGACTTTTATACTTTCGCTGTTCGATAGTGGAGTTTGCTTTCCTTATAACAAAAGAAATGAACTGAGCTTAAAAAGAAATCAAGTCAAACCGCGAAAAAATGAAGTTGAGCATTAAAAAAATCATCGCAATCTATATTAGTGTCTTCACTACGTTCATTGACACTTACGAGGTGGCATGAAACTCACAAAACGCCTCTTCTAAAGCGAAAAGTTAAGTAAAACAGTGAGTTATGTAAAACAACGTAAATTTGTAGAAAATGAAATTGATAAATAGAACAAAATCGAGTACACCAAACTTCCTGGAAACAAATAAAACAAGCATAACCAGCAGACAATTGGAAAAAATTCCATTAACCAGGAAACCGAAAAACTCATTGATTTTCCAACTTTTATTTGTACATTAACTTCGAATAAAAAGTTTGAATTTTTGAATACTAAATTTCAACAAAAATTGTTTGGGCATAAAAAAATATAAAAACACAAATTTGAACAAACGATTTTGGAAATTTTCTATATTTACCAACCATAGGGACTTAAGAGCTATTTTGAAAATAACATTAATGGGTAATTGTTCATTTTGAGAAAAATTTGTGTTAACAAAAATAATAACAATAGTTAAACACAGAGATGGAGCGGAGCTTCGCAACCCACGCGATACAACAAAAACTGCAACACAAGATAGCAAACAGAAAAAAAAGACTGAAATCGTATATATTTTTTGAAAAATTTAGTCGAAAACTTAATTGAAAAAAGTCGGAAATTAACACTTTTGTCTCCGACAATTTTCATAACAATCTTGAAAAGCATTGAAAAATATTTACAAAGCGACAAAAAATGGGTCAAACGCCGTTAAGCCCAAAAAAAACTGTTGTCAGTAAAAATTTTAAGCAAAGAAGTTTTTACGACTCATCCCCCCTGAAACACACAAAAGTCGAAAAAGAAATTATTCAAAATCAGAATTTTACAAATTACAAAACAGCTTTCAGTTTTATTGTACATAGTCCAACTTAAAAAGACCTTTCCTTGGTGATTATGCTGCTATTAAGCGTACTACCTAATAAAACTTGCATTTGAAAAAAAAACGAAAAATGAGCAGACGGAATTTTTAACGAAAACCACAAAACCAAAAAAATCATTTCTTTTTCATTTATTTTGTAGAAAATTATCTCGTACGAACGATGAACAAGCAAACTCGAGATTTGGAGTCTTACATTCGCTAATATTAGCGAACATCAGCCACCAATAATGCAGCTGAAGATGCTAAAAACTGCCATGCTAATATATTCGAGATGCTAATATATTTGAGATGCTCAAAAAATTTTTGCTATGCGGCAAAATTTCAAGCAAATGTTAAAAAAACTAGTGCTTTGTGCGGCATTCCACCTCCGACCAGTAGATTAGGAGTCCCAAGCCGATCCATCTGTACCAAAGTAGCTCAATGATTGGCAAACACGAACTACAAATAAAGCAGAGAACAAATGCTATAACACGTGCAATACTACAGATCGTGATTTTAGCAAAAGTTTAACCAAATGAGAACTTTTATTGCGAGTTAGTTTGGAAAAAAAGTATAGTCATACTAATACATCTTCTTTTTAAGCTCGCTAGCGTAAAAATTAAGGAATAGGGCCGACCGCAATTCGAACTATGCAACTAAGAAGGATACGTCTCGTTGATGTTACCTTTATTCCAAATGCCCACCTTAATTTACCATCACTTAGACCCAATCATAAAACAAATTGGAACATGCGGTGTCAATTCTGTATTACAAAACAGCTTTCAGTTTTATTGTACATAGTCCAACTTAAACAGACCTTTCCTTGGTAATTATGCTGCTATTAAGCGTACTAACTAATAAAATTTGCATTTGAAAAAAAAAAACGAAAAATGAGCCGACGGAATTTTTAACGAAAACCACAAAACCAAAAAAATCATTTCTTTTTCATTTATTTTATTTGAAAAAATTATCTCGTCTGAACGATGAACTAAAACGTAGCTTAATTTGAAATTTGATGAAATTGAGCATGTCAGCGCAGACTGCACTTGAAAGTAACTGCAGCATAACTTCTCACACATTTGTAAGAAAAGTTGTTCACGGGAAAAGTCTAGTTCCCAATTAAATGTACGCTTGCTCTTGAAATAACCAACAATACAAACTACAAAGCCGTAAATAAGCCATCAATTCTTTAAAATCTCGCTGAGACGAGGGAAATAAATAAATAAAAATTTGAGCTATAAAAAATTTCAAAACTTAGAAGCTAATACAGAATATAAACAGAGGAGAAGCTGCACTTCGCAAACACTAGCAAGAAAATGACAAAAAGCAGTGCTACAAAAAGAAATAAAAAAAATTGAAATGCGCCTAGTATTATTTAAACTTTTGCTATGTTTCGGATTCCAACAAGCAAACTCGAGATTTGGAGTCTCACGTTCGCTAATATTAGCTAACATCAGCCACCAATAATGCAGCTGAAGATGCTAAAAACTGCCATGCTAATATATTTCAGTTGCTCAAAAATTTTTTGCTATGCGGCAAAATTTCAACCAAATGTTAAAAAAAAACTAGTGCTTAGTGCGGCGTTCCACCTCCGACCAGTAGATTAGGAGTCCCATGCCGATCCATCTGTGCCAAAGTAGCTGAATGATTGGCAAACACGAGCTACAAATAAAGCAGAGAACAATTGCTATAACACGTGCAATACTACAGATCGTGATTTTAGCAAAAGTTTAACCAAATGAGAACTTTTATTGCGAGTTAGTTTGGAAAAAAAGTATAGTCATACTAATACATCTACTTTTTAAGCTCGCTAGCGTAAAAATTAAGGAATAGGGCCGACCGCAATTCGAACTATGCAACTAAGAAGGATACGTCTCGTTGATGTTACCTTTATTCCAAATGCCCACCTTAATTAACCATCACTTAGACTCAATCATAAAACAAATTGGAACATGTGGTGTCAATTCTGTCAAAAAACATCGGTGAAATAAGTAGAGAACCTGGTTGCAACACCCTTGCTAATCGCAAGGAAACAAACGCAGTTAGAGATAAACTTAAATAGTTGTATCATTGCATTAAGGCCTATTTGCTTGCCTCAATTCATTTTGATTCACTTTTTTTAAATTTCGAGCTCAGGTCAACTATATCTTTCAGATGGTATAATAACCTGCATAAAACTCTCAGCATAATGTTATGAAAACTCAATTAAACCCAGTTCCATCGGAAAAAGTAAACTCATAGTATAACACAATCGTTTGCTAGTGTAATGAATGACTCTTGGAAACAAACTGGTATTGTCTCGTGCAGAACTCGTTCAGCGTTTCTTTAGTGTATGAAATGACCAGGGGTGGACTTTCGGGACATATCGTCGAGTCGGACGACACGCTTTCATCGTCATCGTCGTCATCATCATCGTCGTCATCACTTCCTGGCGCTGTACTCGCAACTGAAGCTGTACTGTCCCTGTTGACAATTCTTCCGGGGCTAACCGAGTTTTCCTTTCGCGTCGCCGAGCTGCCAATATTGTAACTCGTGGGGTGGTTGTTTACATTACTATTCAGAGATGAAGCGGAACCGAATTCAGACGGATCAAAAGCAAAGTTGGAAGACCTGTTTGCTGCAGAGATTGAAAATGCTGCTGTTCCCGAGTTGCTGTTACGTCCAGTTGAGAAGGAGTCCGTTCCCGGAGATTTGAGGCTTCTCATGGAGCCAGGCGAGACTGATGACCGCGCGGGATCCGGAAACTCTTCAAATAAACATAAAATGTTATTTACAATGCAGGACATACAGGAATATCTAATTAAATGAAAATCCATTACCAGGAACAGTTCCTTGAAAATATCGTAAAGAAGTTTCTAATCCATTGTATATAAATTTAACAACTTTTTATCATCTGAACAGCACTGACTTGAAGAGTCTTACCATGTTCGGATACTCGTTTGCAGAAATCCCATAATTCTGACCTCCGTTCTTCACTCGTGTATCTGTCTGAATGGTGAACAACGTCTTCAATACATTTAATGTAATTCTAAACAAAAAAAAAGAATCTTCGCACCATCCTTTCTATAATTATTATTCTTTTTTTGTCAACATTTAATATATGCGGCCTCATATTTAAATTTTTCGTGATCAAGGAATAGCTGCTACTTTGCACATTGAATCCTCTTAAGTCTCGTTAGTTTGTTATGTGAGCAATCATTATTATGTCGCCTCATACAGTATGAAGAGCAGTTTTGTTGACTTAACAGCCCATTAACTTAAAATGCCGCACCCGATATGTCTGGGTAAATTTAGCCAACGAAAATTACCGTCGCTGAAGATGTGTAAGTGTCTCTAGGTCTTCCTCTAGTGGCTGGTGGTTTTACAGTAGTATGATCATCAGCGACCAAAAGCGGTGACATAAGCGGTGCTTTAATATGCTTCGCTTCCAAATGATCCGGTACACCGTGGATTTCGACACTCTTAGGAGTAGCAGATCTGAAAGTTGAAGAGGAAGATTTAAAATCAGTTTCGTCAATTTGTTGCGCCGACTGGACCAAACTGTCTGACAGTGGAGTCGGTTGTTTAACTGGTATTGCTTCTGTTAACAAATCTGTTCCAGATGCCTCTGTTTTTGGAAATGAAGTTTTGCATCTCCATTTTGCCGGAAGCAAAAAATCATTCGAGTGATTCGAATTTGAGTGTACATGCGGAGGTGTGCTTGAGTGTGGGTAGGATTTCTGGGTTTCAGAAGATACCGAACTATTCGACGGAGGTCGCTGGTTCAATTCTTTCAACGACTCGGCTGGTATCGTAACTGATTTCGTCGGTAAATTTATCTTCGGCACATCAGACTTCACTGGTTCTCGCGAGAAGGAATTATTTTCCGAATAAGGATCCGGTCTACGAACATAACCGAGTGTTTTGCCGAACGAGGAGCTCGCCGAAGTGGTAGTTACGACTGACAATGGCAATGAAGTGTCGTGTGTGGATCTCAATGATTCCGTAAAAGCTTCCGCCTTTCGGTTGAACGCGTACACTTTTCCCATCTCGTGAGCTATAAGCGATGCGGTGGAGATCGGGTCCACTTGGTGTCCAGCTGCTATTGACATGCTTGTGTTTCCAGAGTGATTCAGACTCGGAGAAGGACTGGAAGATCGAAGATTGAGATCCGACCTGAAATATTTCAACAGATTTTCAAAATCAAGCTACAGATACAACTTATACAAAAAAAATTCAGTAAATTTGAGTCTTATTCTGAAAAAAGATAATACGCTTCTAAAATGGTTTAAATTCTTCCGCTCATCTTTCGAAAAAAAGCTAAATTGTGTAGATTTTGAACTGATTACCAGGTCCAAATGATACATTCACAAAATCCTTATAATGTTTTCTTTCTCATTAAAAATTATTACTGTAAAATCTCATCACGTTTGCAACAAAATTCAACATAATCAGTTTTATTTTTGTAGTTTTTATGAACTTCTCATTTAAAAACCAAGCGGAACTTTTCACTTTTGCATTTAGTTATTTCCTACCAATCAGAGCTGTTTCGCAGCTGTGAGTTGGCCACCACTGCCGCTCCTAAGAAGGAATCGAAACTAGCTGATGACGACATTGGCAGGTGGTTTGCGGCTGCTCCCAGGGCACTCAGAGCAGCGGCTGCTGCACCCGGCTGCTGCAGAAGACTGGGGTACGCGGATGCTGCGGCTGCGACTGCTGCATTTGCGGCGGCGGCGTTGCTTAGTGAGGTGGATGATCGGAGGAGGTTGTTAAGTGCCTGTTGGTATCCTACTGCTGCCGCTGCTGATGGTAACGGCACTGCATTAAAAACATCAAAACCATTAGAGAAACCTAAGAGTCTTTTCTGTTATACTCCCCTAAATGATGAAAATTTTTGTTGCTAAATTGGAATGCTGACTATCAACATGGAGCAGGTCAAAACTAAGCAATTTCATCCAGCTCCAAACAGGTCCTTTTCATTTTCTTTACCATTTTCTTCAAATCGATCCGATTTTGTAAAAAAAATATATTTTCAAGTTTTAATGAACGTATCCCATTATCAAATCTTCACAATAACAAACAATCTACAATTATATCTTTTTTATACGCCCATAATCACCTATTCATTGACATCAAATTTAGAAGATATCTTGGGCAAAAGAGAGCCCTTAGACGTTTAAGGAAGCTCGGCTTAGTCGCTCATTAAGTAAGGTCAAAACTTCCATTTTATCGAAAAACGGTCCATTCAAAACGCCAGACTGGAAGCAATTTATTGTTTTATAATTAGATCAACCTCACTTTAGGTCATTTTAATTTATATAGTTGATGGTTTTTGAATGTAATCATTCCTAGGCAAGTTTTTTAAACCAAGAGGTTATATGAAATAAACGAGTTCTGCTGGAAAAACAATGAATGAAGATGAATAGAAAGAGACTCACTGGCAGGCCAGTACGTGACTGGGAAAGGGATGGTTGGCTGGAGACTGGCACCCCCTCCCCCACCAGTGGGCAGACTCAGCGGAAGATTCGCCATCGTCTGGTCTGAATCCAAATGCACAACACATAATTACTATCACAATACATAACAGGTGAAGTAAATTTCGAATTCAAACTCAAAATTGATAACAACATTTCCATTTACGCTCAATGGAAATCGAAAATTAATAAGTTCAAAATTAAAAGATCAAAATTTAAAAAAATCAAAATTAAAAAAATCAAAATTAAAAAAAAATCAAATTAAAAGATCAAAATTTTAAGAAAAACTGCAGAAAACTGAGTTTTTGTGAATCTATACTTACTGTAGAGAAGCTGTTGCTGTAGACTGTTTAAGTCCAGAGTAGCCTGGCCCGCACTCGCATTGATCAGAGAGTTATGCAGAGAAATTCTAAACCACGCCACACAAATCATTATTTACACTCGCTCTGATAAACTTCACCTCTTTTCCACTCCCCCGCCCTACGAAACCCTTTAGTAATTAAACCCGAAAATTAAAAAATTGCGAGCAGTTTAGCAATATTCTTGTGAAAAATGGGATCCTCAAAATATAAACAATTCTGAACTCATTTGTTCCATTCATACCTCGCATCCTATTATCACCTATTTGGCTATAGCAGCACGAAAAACATAATCAAAGTGAAAAATATGAAAAATTGGCTTCTAGGTGCTTATAGGCCTACTCAAAAAAGTGGGAAGTTTGTCAGGGGGAGGTCGTAGGGTGAGTGAAAGAGCGCATTTTGCTCAATTTCAACTTCAATCAAACAGAAATCTTATTCTTCAAACGTCGTTTCAACTCAAACTCAAATACTCCTGATTAAGGAATTCAGTCAACATTTTTTTTCACTGAAAGGGGCTCACCTTAAAGACAAGTAATAGTTGTAATAAGCCAGAAACTTTGAACGGCTAAAAGTCACAATTTTTTCGAATTAACAAAGAGAGCAATGAATAAAAATACTTTGCGAGCACAATAAATCATGCAGCATAATGTACAGCGTTTAAAATGCTACAATTGAAAACGATATATCTTTAAAGAAGGTAATTAATTTCTTGATTTTTCGTTTGGAATATAATTTGATCAAGATAGTTTTTTAAGCTCACAGAAAACAAAAACCATATGTTGAAATAACTTAAATTATCGTTTTGTAATCTCCAACGGGCATTTTTTCTGCCTTGCATTATAGATTGATCTCGTATCTTTATCCTCACAATTTTTTTGGTTTCTGTACAGCTCGGTAGTAATTGTAACAAATCTTCACTATTAACATGACCACTACTACAGGGAGGCCACACTGTAATTCGCACTGATAAAAGTGAATGTGAGACAATCATATTTTCCAAAAAAGTAATTTTTTGTCTGCGTTTTGACACAACTCATATCACAAAAAATATCAACCAAAAAATTAAATTTATTCAGAAAATTTTGTTTCTTTTACAAAAAAAATTTTTCTCGGCGGAGCTGCTCATGAAAACCTGCTTCGATTTAAAAGAAATAGTAACCAAATGCAGTGAACATTTTCTTTGACACTAATATTGATTTGATGGCACTTACAACGGGCCACCCGAACTAAAAGAAAACAACGTGTCTCACTGTGCTTGTGAGGCGTAGTATGAAGAAGCAGCAGCAGCAACCGCAGCAGATGTGGTCTGTTCTGCAGAGGAGTGAGGGGGAGGGGGGACAGCAGGGGGCGCTCTCTGCTGGGCCACTGCTATGCCCACTTTGGCAGAAGACGTGATCACACTCCCATCTGTCGCACTCCGCCATTCTTTCTGCACTTCGCCTGAAAACAAAAAAACTCAGAAACCTTCGGGACATTTATAGTTTTACAAATTCGCATAAACAAATTGTTTATAAAGATACCCATCTTTATAAACAATTCTGTTTATCCGAAAACAATTCTGTTCAGAAAATTTCTGCATGCATAAGCTAATTTTCAGACAGACTTTATGTCTCAAAGTCGTCTGTAGGCTCGCTTATTTGAAATAATCCTAAAAAAATTGAGAGCCACTGATTTCTCATCGTCAATTTGTTTATTTCCTTTTAGGATACTTCGTCACTTGAAAAAGGTTGTATAAAAAGTCGTCAATAAAAATATGGTAAGCTCGGCGCTTTTGTCAAATACACGAACCACACAAGGAGCTGACTTCAGTAAATTATGACAAGTAAAACTGTGTAATTAACCGTTTACAATTGACCCAGACAACATTGTTTTGAAAATTACATAGAGACAGACATAGCTGCACTTCGCAAACACAAGCCAAAAAACGGCAGAGGGGAGTTATATAATTTACAGAAAACACAAAATGAAATGATGTGTGAAAAAGAAAAAACAATTATCCGACTGCGGGATTCGAATCACCGGCCGCCAAATTATTAATCACACGGCTTTCTGACCAGGCCAATTGACGAAACTGACTTATATAATTTACATATCATATTAATCATCTCATGTTAAATACTAGGCGCTTTAATAAATCGTATAAAACACATGCTAAATTTGCCGATAAAAACATGCTAATTTGAACACAAAAGCTGATTATTTGTATGTGCCGGGTTGAAAACATGCCTTTGTTTCTGTAAATCTTTTTACAAAGATTTTATTACAAAAGATCTTATAGAAAAGAAATTTTTCAAAAACTTGCTCTTGCAACTGTAAAAAAGGAATTCAATTAAGAATTTATTACAAAAGATCTTTAAGAAAAGAAATTTGTCAAGACACTTGCTCTCGCAGATGTAGAAAACAATTTAATAAAGAAATTTTTTCAAAAGAATTTTTTGCTGTCTAGACGGAACCCTAAAAAATCCAGGTTGACCTCCATTTACCCTACAAGCTAGTCATACAATTCCGTACAAGTTGTCAGTGAAAAATGCTATGCATATAATTCTCAGACTAAGAATTGCAAAACAAGCATTTTTCAAAAAAAAATTATATTTTAACGAAACTCACTTAAATGTAACAAAAATTATTTTTATCGATGCTATACGCTAAGAAATATTATTTCAATTTAGACTTAAGCTCGCAGAAAAATTAAAGGATTTTGTTGGAAACACCAAATTGTGATAACATCAACTTCCAAAAAAGCTTCACGGTTTTTGATGCAACATAAAATTTGAATTGAAAAACATTTTTGAAATTAAAACAGGGATAACCGACTGCGGCGCATGTAGCACAAAATGTTCCGAACACATTCATGAAAAACTACAATAAGAATTTTTTCAAATGAGTTTCGTTTTAAGTGCGTGGTGTGATTAGAGAACTATACAATCGCGTAGAAAGTTGGTGAAGTAGGCATAGGAAGGTAGTGAAGTGTCTTCAAAAAGTAAACAACGATCAAAAAGTATTTTTAAAGAAAATAATAATTGCCAAGGTAGCCCTGATTGAAACTGCCAAACTTGTTTTTCGAAATGAATTTCAAATTTTAAAAAATATGCCCTTAAACTTTGAATTTGACGAAAAATTTATGATTGGTGCTTTTTTGATAAAATTAACCTAATTTGAGAGGACTGGCTCAATAGGTTAGGTTTTTTTTCGCTGGAAAAGCTGACGCAGAGGCGAAGTGGAAGTTCAAACCACTTGCGATACATCACAAACATGAAAAAACGAAAAGTCGAAAAAAGAATTAGTTGAAAAACCGGGTTGGAAAAAATATATTTTATTTCTCGATGGAATTTCATCCTGGCTGAACCAGCCAGACATTTCAATATTAAATTGAGAACAAAATTTATAAAGAGAAAACGAAAACTTTGGGAGACAAGTAGAGTCGAAAATGATTTGATGAAAAGTTTTTAAGTCCCTCTTAAAACAACAAAAGCACAACAATTGCACTTGCAACTACAAAGAAAATTGCACAAGAAACAATCAGTGATGCGGCAATTTAGGCGGCAAACGTGAGCAGGCAAACGAAAGTCGGACAAATCAGTGTTTACCAGAGAAAAAACAAGGACCGGCCGGGACTCGAACCCCAGGCGACAGCCTTACCTCTAGACCAAGTTGGAAGTCGGAAGTTGTTAAGCTACAATAATAAAGCAAGAAAAAAAATCAAGAAAAATGTTTTCAAAAACGTTGTTTAGGGGGGAAAAGTCTAGTACCCGATTACAAAACACTCGCTTTCGCATGCGTAATATTTTAATTCCATTTTCGAAATTAGAAGTTGATCAAGATTTTGGGAACTTTTAGTTTTTTGCAGTTCGATTGTGGAGTTTGCCTTCCTTTGAACATAGCAAATGAACTGACTTGATAAGAAATCAAAAGTCAAACCGCGAAAAATCAAAAATCAGCGTAAATGAATTTTATATTTTCCTGAAAACAAATTAATAAAAATCACCAAGACCTACATAATTCATCACTCTCATAAATTTTAACCAGTTTTCCTCGATACAGGGTGAACTTTTTGAAAAATATATAACTCGACCCATTCTGATGAATATTTGTGGTACCTGAAATTGCGCATTTAAAAAAGAAACAAATATTGGTTCAAAAATTCTGATGACATACTTAACCATTTTTCAAATTTGAGAGGGTTGACGTTTCGGCTTTTGATAAGATCGAAGTTTCGGCTAAAAAAAAGCACAAAAATACACAATGAAAATTTTGTCATAACTGTTTGAGCGCTAATTATAAAGTCGTGTCGTATCTAAAGTTATTCTGCGATGTTCGAGATGCCGTTTTAACCTGTTGGTTGTTATCATCCCAATTCAGTTCTTCGAAAAAAAACATGAGCTATCTGAACAAAAACATCTTTTTCAAAATAACAAGTTAACTAGTCATAAGATAAAAGGTGCGAAGAAGTAATTCTATAACATAGCGAACAATCAATTAGAAAAGAGACAAGGAACGCAAGGAAACAGAAAAAGACTTAATTTTGAAAAAAACTCGAACTTAAAAGACTCGAGAAAACATATGGCCTCCATACACTTTTCGAGTTTCAAAAGCAACTTATAATTGACAATTATTCGACAAAATTAACTCAATTTAAGAAACTGGATCAATAATAAGAAAATCTAAATTGAAATCCACTTAAAAACTAGAAGTTGGTCACGATTTGTTGGCCACGTTAGTAAGCAAGTGTGGGACTGTGGTCTGATCCCCTCAGACTGGAGCGAAAATGAAACTGTTCATTTTTACAAAGGAAAAGGTGATCCATTAGAATGCGGATCCTATAGAGGCATCTGAATACTAGAAAACGCATTGAAAATCATCGTAAAACTACTAAAAAAACGTCTGAGACAATTGACAAAATAGATGACAAGTAATTTGGCTTTATCGGTGGTAGATTAAATACCGGTACCGTTTTTTGATTAAGCAATTGAAGAAAAATCCTGTATCATATATTTGTTGATCTCGAAAAAGCCTTCGACCGTGTTCACAGTGAACTGATCCCATGGGCTCCAAGGCAACAGAGATTCCCTGAAAACCTGGTACGATTCATATTGCGTCCGTACACCGGGTCGAAAATTAGAGTTTGCCAGCCACAAGGATGCAGTGAGTAAATCGAAATGAAAGTAGGCACGCATCAAGGACCCGCAGTTAGCCTATTGTTATTTATAAAAGTATTGGAGAATACGAGAAACTGTCGTTCCATGTTACCATGGGATCTGCTATATGCAGATGACATTGTGATATCCGCCGAAACGGAAACCCAGTCTATGGAGAAGTTTAATAATAGGAACAAAGCTTTGCAAAAACGCGATTTGAAATTAACGTGGATAAGAAAAAGCATTTGATTTCAGGCCAAAATGTAATCCTCAAAAAACCGGAAAATATCCATGCGCTTGTTGTTCCAAGGGAGTCGGCGCCAATTCAATACGCTGCAATTCTTATAATCAATGGTCTGAGGAAAATACCTTAATATAAAACTAATTAAGTTTGTCCAAGATGCAATAATCGTCCCAATTATCGCTCAAATCAGAATGCTATCCCTGAATTTGTAACCCTGAATACTGTAAAAGAGTTCTGCCATCGGGGTGATATGATTTCCGATAGAGGTGACGCAATACGTGCATGAACGGGCACAAGAAGCATTCGCGACAAAATGGCCGCAATTTGCGCCTCTACTGCTGAATAAAGACATTGAATTGATTACAAGGTGTCATATCTACGGAGCTTGTCTCCGGCCATTTCTGACGTACTGCTTTGAAACCTGGGCGCAGACCAAGGCCAATTCCAGCTCTCTTTAGAGTGCTGATTTGAAAACTTTGCGTAAGATTACAGGAGTTACTTATAAAGACCGAGTTACCAACGAAGCCGTAATTAAAATGACAGGTCTTGTTGATCTGCACTAGCTACAAGCGCGGTCACGGCTACCATGGTTTGGCAAAGTTCACCAGAGAGGAACTAACCATGCGCTAAAATCATCATATCAAGTTTCAGTCTGAAGGCAAAGACCAGCAGGAAGACCTAAAAACGCTGGATAGATTGTGTTAAACGAGACCTGAACACTTTAGGCCTCCAATCCACAGACTGCCTTGATCAAATGGCATGGAAAACGAGTTATCCTCCTTTAAATATGTTGAATGCTACTCAGAATGCCCTCATCTGGACCATTGCTAACGCACTTTCCGAATGTCCAACCCGCCACAAGGGAACAAACGCATTAGGAGTAGTAGTAGTTCCACGTTTGTATTTGGAGAGCGCAATTCACCTAACTTTATTCAGATGAAATGAATTAAACTCGAAAAGTGTATGAACATAAGTGCATTCAAAAATTTATTACACAGAGGCGAAGCTTCGCTTTGCAAACACTTGCGAGAACAAAAAAAGCAGCTCTATATAGTCAATAATAAAAATTAGAAATAAGCCTCGAATTAGAAAACAATTCAGCTACCTCTTAGATTCCAACCTGCTACCTAGAGATAAAGAGTCTCATACCCTATCCATTCAGCCGCGGACGCTAAATAGGTAATAGCCACACACTAGTCCCAAATAAAGCAGAAAACAGATGCTATGCAATTTCCAATGCTACAGTGAAATTTCAAAATAAGTGAAAAATTTTAACGAACACTTTTATTTGCGAGATAGGTTCGTAACAATTCACTAAGCTGAAGCTAGTCTAAATGTGTAGGAATGCACATCTGTAATTATGTGAGCATTTCAAGACTTTTCCAGAATAACAAAAAATCACCAAGACGTATATAAGTCTTCAATACGTTCATCGACTCTAAAAACGAAGCAAATGTTCTTCAAAGAAATTTCTTATATATTTTTTAAAATTGCATCAGGTGTTTGAGAAAAAGTATATGAATTGTAAGACCAGCGTTTCGTGTTTTTTTTGTCGATACGGGTTTGTTTTTAAAATTAAAACCAAAATATACATCCGCTGCGACAGTCCATTTTTCTGATGTACTGTCATTTAACAAACCTTTATGTGTGGATGGGAAGAGACTGCCTCCGGACGAAGAGTGTCGCGGTTGACTGGATGAGTTGAGGTGGTGAATTGTATTTGTGTTCACACTCGGACTGCGCGACTCTCTTCTTGGCTTCCCAATATCGTAGTCCATACTCCCACGTGCGACGACCGAAACGGGGGATCTCAGATTCAAGGTCTCAATTATGATGTATTCTCATTCTGTTTGTGTGTTTCTCTCCTTGTTTTAGTTATAGAAATTCGTCATGACTTGAAAGAGAAAATTTCTGAGCTGAACTTGCATCTTCGAACATTAAAAGGCCTGAAAATAGTAAAACATATCTTCATTAGCAAAAGCTAGACAACTTTATAAGTTTGAACCTCAGTATTTTTTGAGAAAAGATTTGATTTCTATAGGTGAACTCGAATATTTAAGCTACAAATAAATAATTCATAAATAAATTTGACATCAATAAATGATGTGATGTGACACATTCAATGGAAAAAGGATATATTTTTACTAACATCAACTATTTCCGAATAACAAACAACGAAACACAGTTGGGAAACACTTCGAAACTATTCAAGGAACATTTTATTGCCAGCAAAAACAAACATGGAATGAAAAAGAGGCTAACATAAGTCTGGAAGTGAACTACTTAATTTAATATGACGTCTTGATTTCTAAATATTTTTTAAATAAATGCACACGATGAAGTAATACAGAATTAGCACCTGCTTTGCGGAATTATTTACAAATTGTTATTCCATTAATTAGCAAGCCATTATTTGTGACCTTTCTGGTTCGAACTTTGAAGCTACAGACATTTCGGGTCTTTTTTTCAGTCCCCTCCCCTAAATCATTAAAAATTTGGACAAAAACTTTTATTCCAAAAGCAATCGGATCTTGCATCCTAACTGAGATGCCTTTATAGAGATGATCGGCAATCAATTTTTTCAATTTTACCGACATAATTTTCAGTAATAAGAGTTCAAATAACGTCTGATAGTGCGAAAATGATTCGCCTAACTTTTCGTTATCTGTACTAATTTGTAGCTGTGATGATTTTCAATTCATTTTGAGGTCAAAAAAAATTTAAAATGATAACCTCATTTTTTTTGGGAGGTGGAGATCAACAAAAAATACCTGAAATTTTTACACCGATATTTTGCGATGTCTCAGAAAAAGTTGTTTCAGCTACTAGTGATTTTGTCAAAAAAAAATCAGTATTGAAGTTTTTGAACAGATAAGCGATTAGCTCCACCTATCTAAGCATCAAACCCTCAAGAGGGCTGCAAAAAATTCGAAACTCAGTAGCTGAACATAAACTATAAGTAAGCTAAATTTTAATGCACGAATGAATTGTGATAGATGACGAACAAACTGAACTGTTTTTGGGTTAAGACTGATAGTCTAACCCCTGAAAAGAAAGCTGCTTAACACACGCACGCACTAAGGATCTTAAATATACACTAGGGTGAATTTGGGTGGCATTCAGTAAAGCGGAAAGTCAGTAAGTTTGAATATCAGTTAATTTAATTACATACCTTAATTAAATGCACCAAATATTTAGTGGTTTATGGAATGGATAAAGCGTCGCAAGATTTATAGTGAGGCGGAAGCCAATTCCATCTTTCCAGATTAAACATTCCGGATCTACTTAACAATCTCCACCCCTTTCAAGAAAGGGGGAGGGGGAAGATTGTTAAGTAGATCAAAATAGTCAATTTTTCGACCAATCAGAATGCAGCAAAAACTCTAACTCTCAGTAGAAAGCTCAGTGCTAATTTACTGTATTTATTTATAGGGGTGAAGATTATTAAATAGGTACCATAGGGGGGGGGGGGGGGGGAGATTGTTTAGTAGATCCAATATTCCCTCAGAAGTTTATCATACGCGACCAATCTCTAATAATGGTACAATAAAAAAGGAATTTCCGTTTTACTGACATGCCATCGGTGAATAGATAATAACGGATGGTCCAACTTTCATTGGCCGGCCGAATAAATTACAAATTATTATTACCAAATTTTGAATTTGAATTTCGGCTATTTACACACTTATTGATTGCTCTTTCAACTGATTGCACCAAATAGATTGTAAAGCTCTTTTTTGGTCCCTTTGCCTTTTAGAGTCAGAGTTTCGTATAGCAAAAAAATTATGGTGTCTTGGCATCTTGATTTAATCTGCAGCTTGCGTGAAATCATCTGAGTCATCTACTGGCAGTTCCAGCAGCCCCCCGTATGCCTTTTTCTTCGTATCGTCGCCTTGACTAATCACAGAGGAAGTCTTGCTGTGTTCTTTCGACGTGGAAACAAACATTTGGCCACTAATTCCTGAGGCGGATTTTGAGGTAGTAGCTCCGACTGATTCGGCCACCTCTGAATTTACAATTTCTCCACTTTTATCGTCTCTCGCTGCTGCTAACTTCAGTCCCTCGTATCTATTCAAAACTAGAGACACCACCTCTTGAATTGCACTGCTCAACTCCGCCATTGATTCGTCCGTATACATGGCCGTAGGGTAGCTCATAGTAATATGTACCTTGTTCTTAATGGTCACTACAATGAAGTTTATACAGTAAATGAATCTCGATATATCAATTGCTGCGACCAGAGACTGGATTTCCACATGTTTTGGATCCGAATCAACTCTGCCCAGGTTGGAAAAGCCGGCAAACGAGCTTCTACCTTCTGCGAAGTCTTTGCTTTTGATGAAGCTGAACAATCGTTTGGCTTTAACTGGGTCTGCAAATGCCTGTAGGTAATATGCAACAGACTTCAACGTCACCATACTAGCCGATCGCTTCCGAATAACATCGGTTATGAATTTGGCGTGTGATTTGGAGTAGTCTATAAGGCAATCAGCTATGAAGCTAAGGTTCTGTGAGGTTGCACTATGTCCAGCAGGACTTCCAACATCGTTCGAGTTGGGCGCATCTGTAGCTGAGGTGGATCTTCTTCTGCTCCTGTTTCTGTATTTCTTCTCATTGAAAGAGCGCGCAAGAAACAGAACGGGCATCGTGGCTCCAATGTAGTTCGTCACGTACTTGGTTCTGTTAGAATAACTATCCTAAACACAAAATCAAATTTCTAGTTTTAAAAAAAAAGTCAATTCGAAGCATACTCCTCTCAACTATTCGTACAATTCAGATTTGAAAGAAAACTCTTGTAAAATTTTATTTTAAAAATCGGGTATACTTCTTTAAACTTTCGATAGCTAAATTGAAATCCACAATACACTGAAATTAATGCATCGCCAACTACGACTGACCTTGAAATACATGCGCGTGTCCCTGAGGCAATCGAAGGCCATCAGTTTACTCGGCCAGTCGAACCCTTTGAAGGCGTACTTCATCATACCCATAGCTAGAAGAGACATAAGGAACCCACTGAACGACAGCTTGTGTTCCTTTCGAAACTTCTGGAACAGTTCCAACTGTCGTTCCTCCAGCAAGAAATACTGATGGGAAACTCCAGATAGTCCAGCCATTTCTCTCGCATTGTGATTTGTCCAACCTCTGGGCTTGAACTTATCCAGACGCAGCATGTTTCGCACAGGGTAGTAGTTCGGCAGACTTTTCTTCACAGAAGCGAAAGTTTCCACGAAGCGAATCCCAACGGATGCAAACTGGCGCAACACCCATACAAATTTTGCTTCCGGCACTAAATCTTCGTAAGGCGCAGACAACGCGATCGGTTCAAACTCTGGCATCTTACGAGTCGCCACGAATTCGCTAAAAATCATGGACATAGTTAAGGATCAAATTTGAGCACAGAAAAACGTAGTGTTTAACTTTGCCATACATTTTGCGAAGTTTCTTTTGTGATTGTTTGAAACTCACCGAGTAGAGCGACAATTCGTAAAAAGCGACGATTTGTAATAAGCGACAATTCGTAAGCGATGCACTTGCAAGTAGAATACGCTGCGCTTAAATACGTCACGAGAAGAAGAGGAATACTGCGCGTGAATCAGTGTTCCCCGCTTAATTTACTGTTGCAAATTGTCGGTAGTTACGAATTGTCGCCTTACGGCAAAATAGGTTAAATAAGCAGATAAAACTTAAGCCAAAACGAATTAGGCCAAATAAAGCTTTCAAACAAAACAACTATACAAAGTAAGGGTCAGTAAATTACAAATCACAGGTGTAAATCGACAACACTTGCAACGACAATGAGAATGGCTTGAGCACACGTAAACTCTGCAATGTAGCAACTAAACCGGCAAAACATAATCAGATTAACGAAATACCGACATTTCATTTTTTCCCGGACACTTTTTTCTCATATTTTCATACATGCTGAAAAACAACGAGGTCCTACAGGGACTCGAACTCCAGACGTAACGGAGCAAAATCAATTTTGTTCCTTCTAGACAAGTGAGAAAGCGTCAGCAAGCCTTAAGGTTAACAACAAAGCCAGTTCAATTTCTTGCAAATTTGTAAGAAAAGTTGCTACGGGAAAAGTTTAGTTCCCGATTACAAGACACTTGCTCTCACAAGTGCAAAAAATTGAGAAGATGAGGAACTCAACCCTTTACCAGCTTAACATTTATTGCAACATTAAGTCGGTTTAATTCAGTATGATCTCCCCTACACTTTGATATGTAATAATCAGAATTTAAATCGTAATGTTTTTTGCCCGATCAAATTAAATTATAGAAACTATGTAGCACTAATTTACAGCGGAGTTTTGCATTTCTTATGATACAAAAATCATTACTTTTGATAAAGAAAACTATAAACCAGTATTAAAGCGTACACAATGATTGTGAAAAAAACTGCTGCATTTTCAACCAAAAAAACAGATCAGCCATCGTACGAATTTTCATTTAAAAAAATTGAAACTCCGTTTCAGCCCCTTCCCATTCTTCTTGAAGGTACAACCAAGTAAAATACACTTTGGTCTTTGAAATGAGGTTTTATGAGAAAACTAAACCGATATAACATCCGCCGAAACCATTAAAGCCGTTAGAGTTGGTTTATAAACAAGAAAAATGAGTTTTTGGACAAAACAAGAATTCAGAATGTGGACATGCGCATACGAAAGCTGTTAAACTGATAGTCTGTTGTTGTGATAAACAGCCTTTTAGCCTAATTGTTGTGATAAACTTATTAAATAGTTTGAGATGGGTATGTGCTGGTGATCACCTGGCTGGACGTTGCACACTTCCTGACCTGCCCGAAGTGGACCACTGGTCTTCAGGTAGCGTGCCATCCACGATCTGGCCTGGACCCCGCACTGGAATTCTGGTCTCCTGGTGTGGAACCCGTAGCCCGATCTTGACTCTGGCTCTCCCCTTCTGCCTTCGTTATCTCTACGTCTGGGTGAGACCCCTCCTACGTTAGGCATGCAATTGTTTGCCTCTTTCTTCTCGACCGTGTTTCTGGTTTTAGCTTTCAACCGTGTGCAGAACGGTCACACCCCTGTTGGATCTACTCACATGCTGCTGCTGGCTCGCGAGAAACCTGATCCACAATCACGACAAGAACTGCGGTCACGCAAGTTTAAACTCAACTCAAAGCTGTCGTTTTATAACATTTCTATGCTCCTTCTTTTATGCGCTGGTGATATTGAAAGTAATCCTGGCCCGGCTGTCGACCCTACTCAGTTGTTCAGATTTGTTAACGCCGCGGAGATCTTAGTCGGGTCGTCTGTGGCCATCTCGGACCTAACCTCCGGTATCTATGATGCTTCTATCCTCAAAGTTGACAACGATCGCTTCTTTGCTCACTTTCGTGGTTGGAATAAAAGCTATGACTCCTGGGTCAACCTTGATCAAATTTTCCGGCTCCCTGATGGTTATGTTCCGATAGGCCGGAATTCTCGCGGTCCTATTTGCCTTCTCCCGCCTCCTGTTTCCAGTCCTATCTCTGTCGCTTTAACGAGTTCTCCTTCTCGGGATGCTCCTGTTAGCTCTGGCCTCTCTTAAGGGATGTCAAGTATGACGATCTCGGCTGAGCTCGCCGAAAGCGCTGTGCCGGATCTTTCTGACGTCATGTCTTCCAGAGTTGACATTGTCCGGTTCGTTCCGATTTCTCTTCGTAACGAGTGGTCTGAGGTTGTTGGTCACGCCCTTGACAACTGCGCCACCGCTCCGGACAATCTGAAAAACTGGACTCGGTTGCTCATGCTCCCCAAATGTATCTTGAAAGCCCCTCGCCGCGGAGGCAAGTCTCACGCCGCTAAAAACTGCAGAGACATTCGCCAAAGAATCAAGTCCTGGAAGGAGGGCAATATTTTGGACCTCTGGTCTAACGCTACCAAAGGACCTAAAGAGCGAACGAAGAAAAACAGCAAACCTTCTCCTGACTTTAATGTCCGCAGAGCCAAAGAGCTAGCAGGCCTCGGTCAGTTCGGCAGAGCAGCTAAAGCCCTGTGTTCCGATGGCCTCGTGTCCAAAAGTGACGAGTCGCTTAAGGACCTTCGCAGTCTTCATCCTTCCGCTGACCCTCCTGTCTTTTCTGGCCGGGATGAATCCCCTCTTGCCTACCAATTCGAATCTGAGTTCGTTCATAAGTCTCTCAAAAGTTTCCCGAGCGGCACTGCTGCCGGTCCTTCGCGCTGGTTTCCTGAGCACTTTGTTCACGCCGTTGAGTGCCCCACTCCTCAGACTGCTGCCAGAACGTTAAAGTCTCTCAACAGGGTTGTTAATATCCTCGGTGCCGGGCAAGCCCCTTCTAGTCTCTCTCCGTGGCTGTGCAGTGCGAATCTCTTTGCCACCGCTAAACCCAAGGGTGGTGTCCGGCCTATTGCGGTCGGCGAAGTGCTCCGAAGGCTCACTGCTAAATGCCTTGCTAAAGCCGCCAACGCTGAAGCTCGTGATTTTCTGTGTCCTCACCAGCTTGGAGTCGCTACCAGCGGTGGCTCGGAAGCCATCGTCCACGCTACTAAAATGACAGTCAAAAAGTGCTCGGAACATGGTCACCAAGGCGTCTTAACAGTGGATTTTGAGAACGCTTTCAACACGCTAGACCGCACCGAGATCCTCCTTCAAGTTCGCAACCGTCTTCCCGGTCTCTCCGCCTTTGTTGAGTTTACCTACGGTCACCACAGTCATCTGCTGTTCGAGGATGTCATTCTCAACAGCGAGAAAGGAGTTCAACAGGGGGATCCGCTAGGGCCTCTCATTTTTGCGGTCACCCTGCACTCTCTAGTCGAATCTCTCAAGTCGGAAGTCCCCGGTCTCACCCTCAACTGCTGGTACCTTGATGATGGGATTTGTGCCGGCAACGAAGACTCCTTGCTCAAGGCTCTCGAACTCATCACTTCCAACGGCTTGCATCTCGGCCTCAAAGTCAAGCACAGTAAGTGTGAGTTGTGGGCCCCTGTGGAGTTCTCCTCCATCCCCGTCTCTATCCCGAGAGCAGCGTCTAATGGCTTCGAGCTTCTTGGCGCCCCCATTGGTGATACTGAGTTCTCAGTTAAAGTCCTGGACAAACGCATCTCGAAGGCCACCAAATGTCTTGAAAAGTTACCTCTTCTTGATGACCCCCAGCTCTCACTTGGCATCACTCGCACTTGCCTTGCTGCTCCCAAGCTGACGTACTCTCTTCGCACTCTGCCGCCCTCTCAGCCTGTCGCAGCTTCCCTGCAAGTTTTTGATGAACTCCTCCGCGATGCTCTTTCTGTCATAGTTGGCTCACCTGTTCCTGATCTTGCCTGGTCCCAGTCTTCCCTGCCTATCAAAGATGGCGGACTTGGCGTCCGGCAAGCTCGCGACCAACACATCCCTGCCTTCCTAGGGTCTTCGTGTCAGTCAGCTCATTTGGTCTCGTTTCTTACCGAATGCGACATCACTGATACGCCGGAGTTCCTGCGTGCCTCGAACGACTTCCGTGAACAGTCTGGAAGCGTTAACACTCCCGGTTTTACTCAAGAAGCTTTCCAAGAGAAACTCGATAAGGCCACCTACAACGCTTTCTTCTCGTCTCTTCCCGATTCCCGCGAGCAAGCTCGTCTTCAGTCGCTCTCTCTGCCTTACGCCGGCGCTTGGCTTACCGCAGTCCCCATTAAAGGTCTTGGCCTGCACCTGCTACCTGCTGAGTTCCAAGCTGCTGTCAGATACCGCCTTGGTCTTCCTGTGTTCGCGTCTGCTCGTAGGTGCCCCGCGTGTCCGTCTGGCATTCTGGACGTCCTCGGGGACCACGCTGTCGCTTGTGGGGGGAGTGGTGGCCGGATCTCCCGTCACGACAGACTACGGGACATTATTTTCAATGCTACCTCGGCTGCCTCTTTAGCCCCCATCAAGGAGCAACGGAACCTCATCCCTGGAGAACGGTCCAAACCCGGCGATATTTTTATCCCTACTTGGAGCGCTGGTCGCCCAGCTGCTTTCGACGTCACCGTGACATCCCCGCTGCAGTTATCTCTTCTCTCTCGTGCGGCGGAGACCCCCGGGGCGTCCCTGGAAGTTGCTGAGGACCGCAAATTTTCGAAACACGAGAAAAACTGTGAGGAACAAGGTATCAGTTTTTTCCCGTTAGCAGTCGAAACGCTCGGGGGTTGGTCCGCTTTAGCTATCAAAACCCTCAAGTCAGTTGCTATCCTCGCTGATGCCAGACGTTCTGGTTCACGTGACGCTCGTGTTGCCCCAGTTCGCCTTCTCCAGAGCCTCTCAGTGTGCCTCATGAGAGGAAACGCCACTATGATTGTCAGCCGGGCCATCTAGTCTTGTGCAGTTTATTACGTTTTTTGCATTCCCAATTCTGGTGCTCCTTTGTTCCTTTGCTGTTAGCGCATTCCCCCTCTCTTTTCAATCCTCAATGATTCATCCCACATTTGTTGTTTATTTTGTATATGTAAGCAATTTTTATTATCGTATATTATTTTTATTATTTTTTAATGCTAAAGTTACGTTTTCCAAATTAAATTTGTTAAGTTCAAATGCAAATTAATTATCAGATTTTCTAGCGAAATTAAAACTTTACCATAGTCTGTTGGCCAAATCATTCAGTCATTTAGTTAAACTAGTTTTTAACCTCAAAAAAAATTTTCAATTTGATGACACTTGCTAATCATAAGCGCAATGAAGGAACCTTATCATAAGCGCAATAAATCATTCAGTCATTTCTTTAAAATTACTAACCTAAAAAAACTGTTTCGATTTGAAGACGCCTGCTAATCACAAGCGCAATGAATGGAATTTAACTATGTGACCTAATTGCCATTCAACAAAACTGGAAAAATATATAAGAACGAAAGCGATGAAGTCGATAAATAAAAAAATACCAAAGAAATGTCATTGAATTTTCTAAGGATGTATACTGTCAAAGACACTAAAAGAGTTTCACGGAGGTGTAAAAGGACAAAACCCAACAAACTGTATGAAAAAAGTCAATGGACGCCAAGAAACAGAAAATACGACTTACTTTTTGGAAAAATTTGAACTTTCGAAGAAAAAAAATATGGCCTAAATACTCTTTGAAATTCAAAAACATTGTTTGTGATTGACAGTTTTTTAATCAAAATCGACAGAACTGGATCAATAACTAAATTTTTAAATTTCAAGTGTAAAAACTTTTTAAAGCATACCGAAAGCATGTACGATTCGATCCGATCCCTCCATACTCCATCACCTTTATGATTCATGAAAACTCCAATTGGCTTAATCAGACCGGGCGAAGAAATCATTTGCTGGAAAATTGTCAGGAGAAATCTTAAACTCAACACAGAGGCGAAGTGGAGCTTCGAAACATTTGCGATAAAAAAAAACACATTGCGCTATAAAATAGTGAATGAAAAAAAAACAAAGTCAAAAAAATTTCTGAAAAATTATGTTGGAAAAAATTATTTACAAAAATAACTTGACAAAAGTTGTAAGATTAGAGCTACAAAAAGTTCATATTTGTATCGGATAACGTTCATAAACAGCCCTTCAACAATGGAAAAAATTTACCGAGCGGCAAGAAAGGCGACAAACTTTGGGTCGTAACCTGTTGAGCCGAAAACTGTTGTTATAAAAAAATTCATAAAATTTAAATATTTTTACGACCCATCCAAACTGAAACACATAATCTGAAACGAATATATTTTGCCTTCGAAATTACGCAAAATAAGTTGACAAAGTCGATATAACATAGACTGAACCTGTTTGAATATTAAAAGAAAAAACTCAAAATCAGACATGGTAAATTTACAAATTTGTGAAGTTTCAGTAATAAAAGAATACTTTGAAAAGTAAACCGATAAAACAAATCCTGCCAGAAAACATAGCGTTTAAAAAAAACGGAAATATCCCGACAGAAACTAGGACAAAACCACGAATCCGAAAAAATAGAGAATTTTTTGAAAAGACAATTACAACATGTAACTAATTACTACTTATATGATAGAAATGAAGTGAAGATCCTCTAGAAATGACAATAAGATCCTCTAGAAATGATCCCGTGGACAAAACTGTTTACCGGAAAAAAGTCTAGTACCCGGTTGCAACACCCTTGCTTATCGCAAGGGTAATAAATAACCAATTATCTAACCAATTGTCTAAATTACCAGGTGATTTATGGATAGCAAGAAAATTACCTTATTATGTTCCCAAAGTCCTGGAACAGTGACATTACTCCAATGCCGTCTAGGAAACCATGGTTGCAGCGGAAGCTAATCAAGAAGCTACTGTAACGTGAAGGCACTTCATCTGACGGATTACGAGTTTCTGCCAACGGTCCAAAATTTATCGACCACAGGCTTGTACCATGCGGTGAAAGAGTACAAAGCTCCTCGCCCAAAAAGGTATCTGTGAAACTCTTTTTCTCATTGATGGTATCAACAATTTTGACATTGAAAGTGTCTTCTTTAGGTGCTTCACACCAATAAAGTATCTTGTTTTTCAATGTAAACCGTAATCTTAAAATCTCGTACTTTTGGTACAGCAAATCGAATAAAGACAACAAGTCACCACTCGAAATAGCGCGACCCGTGTTTATTTGCATCACACATCCTATAGTAGCTCCACCGTTGTTCGAAATATTGTTGAAAGCAGTTTCCGGTCCACTACATTTTCTTACAATATTAGGATTTGGGCCATTGCTGCTCCCATCAACAGATTTTGTGGCCATTTCAATTGACGCCGAGGGCCTTACAATCAATCAAAATCGCCATTTTTCGAATTTGCGCATTTTTCCTGAAAAAAAATCAGCTTGGCTGAACCACTGGTAAAAGTGTAGCTCAGTTTCCCTGAGAGGCGAGTCACTCAAAATAAGCATGGCAAGTTAGCAGACAATAAAAAAATGAAAGCTACTTATTGGAAAAAAATATTGAAAATTGTCAAAAATCGACAACTAAAATACCAAGCAATTATCGAGCTGCAGCAAAGGTAAAGCCGATTAAAATTGGGTAAACGCCCGTTGAGACGAAAACAAATTTGTTGTCATAAAACTTTCAGCTTTAAAGTACTGATACTCAAAGACCATCCGGAGTGCGGTCTGTGTTTAACCAATCAGAATCGAGACAATCTTCCTGTCTCGATTCTGATTGGTTAATACAGTGTCTGAATACGCGGTTTACTAAATATTGCTACGTAACCGCCCCATCCCCACCGCTCACTCACTCCTGAAACATTAAAAGCATGAAAGACTATCTGTTCCTTTCAAGCCAAGCAAAGATCACTAAGCCGGTAATACATAAGAGGCAACCGTATATATTATTATTATAGGGCGAAAAAAGCTTTTGAGAGGAAAGACAAAAAAGCTATTATACAAAGTCACTATACAAAGTACTCGTTTTACCAGTTATATAAGTACTCTTCAAGTGCTCTTCAAATAACAGTAACTGTAAAAATAAAGTTTAACAATTATATTCCAAGAAACTAACAATAACTACATACCGGATGATACTATTTTAGCGAAAACACACATGTTTTCAATAGGCTTTATTCACTTTTTACTATTTCAAACTACACAAGTCAGGCGCTACCAGATTTACGTTCGCGTTGTGACAACTAAGCCGACAAAACATAGACTTACGGACGCTAGGTTGACAAGAGGCTGACTTCGCAGCAAGTAAGCCACAAGGTAGGCCTCTGCGTTGTGACCGTTATCCCCGCTGAGGTAACAAAGCCGACGCTGTGACAACCAGAAGGCCGAAAGTATCATAGTAACCGAGGTTACAGTCAGGAGTCCCTTCATCACATTATCCAGTCAAAATCCTCGGAATTTTCTACATAAGAAAATATATTGATAACAAGGAGACGATTAGTGTTGATGTGTTTCTGCACAAACTCTGACAAAACAGAGGTAATGGCTTCAGAAAACTGAGGTCATTGCTAGACAGAAAACAGAGGGCATTGCTAGTCAAATACAGAGGTCTTTGCTGGAAAACTCTCTTGTTTTGATATTTTCAAGACTTAATCTTGATAGAAATTTTCGAAACTAAAGAAAGACTAGCATTCCAGCTTAATCCTGAAATCCTTCTTTTTTGAATCACTTAAATTACTAAACGCAAAAGTCGTTTCAATAATATAGTAACAGTGCAAAATTAACATTATGTACAGAAGTCACATAATCAATAAATGTGACATTCGACCAGAATGCACGAAAATGCAGTTTCGCATTCGAATTTTTATGGGCCAGAAAAGAACATCTGACCTGGAAGATTGATGGTTTTAACAGATTAGTGACGTTATTTGAATGATTAGACAAATCGGGAAGAGTTGGTGTTGACTGACATTTTAATTTTTAAAAATTCGAATTGTGACGTCACATTTCTGAGAAATGTTAAAAACGCCATTTTGGAACACAAAACAGAAAAAAAAATAGAACAAAAATAGTTGCAGTAGAAACAACTACGAGAAAATAACGACCGATTGAAGTTATAACTGGAAAACGTCAGAAACCGCTCCGAGTTGTAACGATTGTGCCGCTACAATCGTTACCGAGTAATTCACACGAACGAGGAAGGGTATTGGGACGACGTTTCCAGCCTTCCTAAAAGGACGTTATTTCCCATGATTCCAGAATCCGGATGAGTCTCGGTCCCAGATCTCAAACTGTTTTATTTAAACTTTCAGCTTCCTGGTCATGTCCTGAGTTGAATTTAATTAACATCCCGATTCATTTTCAGAGAATGAAAAGCTAGGAGTGTGGGAAAGGATTGATCCATCTTCGATGGGGCTGATGATTTTTATCTACTGAACAAAATCATTAGTAATGTAATAAAAAGTAGTAGCCCTGTTTTTAGGAGTGACCTCGTGGTCTGGGGATACTGAGACCCAGCCATGAGCTCACTATTCTTGCATATAATTAAATTAATTTGAGTGTTTTGACCGAAGCCGGAAACAGTAACGTTTTTGTCGACCCGATGTTAGGAAAACCACCAAAAGAACTGGCTTTGGCAGAGACGGTGAAAAGCATGTAGAGCTGTGTTTAGACGCTAGCCAGTCGTTTCAGAACCTGGCTTTATTTTCCGTCGATATGTACTTCCGGGCGAATGTTACAAAAAATAAATGTAACACAAGCAGTCCCGCCTCAAATCATCAGTTAGCTCGCTGAAAAAACAAGTTGTTGTTCTGATCAAGCTATCCAAGCAATGAAATTTTGAACAAATTCAAGTTAAGCCATATCGTAAATTAGTTTGAAAAAACTTCAGGTTTTATAGAACGAATTGGTTCCCGAAAAATTGAAGTTTTTCTAAACAAACTATTCAAGCTAGAAACTTTGAAAAACTTCGAACTTTGAAAATTGTTCATGAAGCAAATCGTTGGCGCAACTCAAGGTTTTCATATGGAAGCTATTTAGGCGGTGAAACATTGAAATATTTCATAGAGCGAATCAATCCGCAAAAAACTGAAATTTTTCTAGTCAAGCCGAATGGAAACTTTGGAAGCGAATAAGTTGGAAGCACATTTTTTCAAAAAGCGAATAAGTTGGCAAAAAGTTCGATTTTTTCTCAGTAAGCTATGCAAACTATGAAATGAAACATTTCAATTTTCTTAACAGAGCGAGCTGGTTCGAAAAACGTTCCAGTTTTTCTATGCAAGCTAATCAAAACATGAAACTTTTTAACGTTTCTCAATTATTGAATAGACTGATATGGTTCACGAAAGGTATTAATTTATTGAGCTATGACACTCTGATCATTTCCATTTATTTCTAAACGTGGAAAATTTCGCGAAAAATTCAAAATTGTCTTAGCAAGCTGCTTAAACTAGGAAATTTTGAAAAACTAAAGTTAGTTCAAAAAGAAAACTGAATGGCAAGCTGTTGTTCTGATGAAGCCTTTGAAGTGATTTCCAGGTTTTTCCTTAGTTTTTCAAATAATGGAGCAAGGAAATTCGAAAAAATCTAAGCTTTTCCAAAGCAAACAATTCAAGTTAAGTATATTCATTGCAATTAATTGGTTCATGAAAAGCTTTTATAAGCAATCTATTCGAAATTCTGAAGCTAAAACCTTAAAGTTTTCGAAGAAAGCTTTTCAAGCATGAAATGTTGAAATAATTCCGTTTGTGTCATAGACGAAGTTTTTTTTAGAATAGAGGTTGCTCTTTTCAAGAGATTCGGTGCAGATTGAAATGAATCTGTGAACGCAAAAATTAAAACCAAATTTATGCAAGAACTGTCCAGCCTTGAAGTTGGATCGAGTTCATCTTCCTCTGATGGTTGCTCTGAATGAATCTTAAATTTTTCGCTCGATAGTCTTTTCCACATAGTTTTCTAAAACATTTTACGCATTCTGTTCTGTTAAAAATTGCGTTCATAGCACATTCCAACCGACTTTCATTTTTTATATAGGGCGAACAATTGAATTGAAACAGTTCAGAAACCTTGAATGTTTGGTTTTAGAATCGAAACACAATTCAGTCAAAAAAGAAACTTGAAATAAAAAAGTACGAGAGTTTTTAATATAGACTTCATACTTCAATATCAATTTCAGTTTACTCGGTATTCAAAAACTTACTCTTCAGTGTTCATCAAGCAACAGTAACTCTAAAAATAATTCGAGCCCGTGTAAACATATCCGTTGATCTGCAAATTGAATTTTTTTTACTATTAATCCTATTGCTAGTCACAAATTCTTTCGTTCTGATGTTGTCATTGATCATTAATTCTCACGCTCCAAATTTGGATGTCTGTCTTGGAAAGTTTGAACTGACCACTCTGTTAAATAGAAGCAACTCTTGTGATATCAGTTCTTTTCTACAAGAACATCTGCTGCTCATGCTCAGGTTTATGGGGTCTGGAAGTAGATCCTTGAATCACCTCTAATTTCTTGACTCTGTTTTCTGAGAACACCCTGAGTCGAGTAAATTCAAGAGCTTCAGTAATCTCGTTGGAAGTTTCTCGAAGAGACTGAAATGCGACAACTTGTTTTCTACGGATCTTCTGAGTTCTTTGATCAATTGAGAAGTCTCATTGAAAACTGAGTGTAGCTGAAAAAGCTGAGATACGGTTTCCGTTTGAATTGCAGTGAATCAATGATTCCTTGATGACAAGAGCGCCCAAGGGATTACACGATTGTTTTTTTTAATCTGTGCTCTAGCACTTGAGCACACTTTTCTAGCATTTGAAGCGCTTGAATTGCATTTGAAGCGCAAATTTTAATTTGTTGGTGAATGAGTTAGAACAAACTACGGGTAAATGAAATGAATAATTTTTTACAAGAAAAATAACATGCGTTTTTATTTGAGTTTACATTAGAAAAATCAACTTATCAGTTAAAATGTGCTTTGCTTGCTCGAATGTTTCCGCCACCGTTGATCTTTGATCAATCTTTTTGCTTTTCAGAAGCAGACGATATTAAGAAGTAGCAAGAAGAAAGCGGATGTAATGAAATTGTCGGGTTTGATTTCTGGGAAGGTGGCAATTGCGAAGAAGGTGGGTAAGGTGAACTTGGAGTATAGGGTGGTCTTCTGGCGGCTGGAGTTGGTGGATGCAGCCCCTGATTCTGTGGTGCAGAAAAAAAGGATCCGAAAGTATCGTTATAGGAAAAATCGGAAGGATGAGTCTGGAAGAATGGCGAGGAAGAGGAGTTGGAGGACTGACAATTGTTTTTTATTTTCAATTTTGAGGTTTTTTTGGTTTTGATCTAATTATGTTTTTAAACTTGTTATTTTTTATCTCGCATCATTTTTTATCGGCAATTTTTGCAATCATAACATTGTTTGTGTACTAAACTTGCCATTCCTTTTTTTAACTTGCAGTA